CTGCCAGCCACACAGCCCATAGTCTCCACGCTGCCATCTTGAGGCCCCGTCCCCCTTGCCGCTTCCCTCTCCTGCAGCCCTCAGAAGTAGGAGGGGGAGGAAAGGGGCACCGCCCTGCATGCCCCAAGGGGGAGGGCTCGAACTACCCCACCTCTCTTCCTCCAGAAGGTGGGTTCACATCCTCCGCATGCTTGCCGTTTCTCACCTCCAGCCGTGCTGACAGTGCACCAAGGGTTTACGGTCAAGGTTTTAGCATCCCGGATTGCCTACCCTCCGTGGCACTCCGGCCTTGCCACCTCTGCAGCCCAAAGCTGAAACCCAGGCGCTGTCCACTGCCTGCCTTGGAGTCACTCACCACCTCAGACCCTATTCTAGCAGGGCTGGCAACTAGAGGCTCCCATCTGGACTTCACTCCCCGCCAATTCCTCAGCTACCTGGCTTTGCGCCGGCACTGATAGCCTCAAAATTAGTTTGTCAGACTCTACTTACCAAAGCTGGGGCGTATATTTGTGATCTCAGCCATGTTGTAATCAGAGGCTGTTGGTAGCAACACTTTTGCAGAGGTCAGACAACTTTGGGAATCTCGGTGAGTACCGAGGCCGCGGCTGTAGACCTCCGGATCAGGGGAGGGGAAGGTGCCTGGCAGACTGCCCCTGCGACAGTCGGATCCCTGGTTGCTAGCTGCGCTTTCCTCTTAGATGCTCCTGGGATGCTCTGAGCTAAGGATGCAGGTGCAGTCGGACTGGTCCTGATGCGAGATAAGCTCCGCCTCTTTCCGAAGGGCCCTCGGCAGAAGACTCCGCCTCTGCCCGAAAGGTTCCGGAAGCTCTTCGAGAGGAGACCCCTCCCACCGCCGAGTTTTCCCGAGGACAAGGCTCCGCCCACCCCCAGGCTGTGGGCGTTGGGGCTACAATTTCAAAGCCCAATAAGAAGTGTAGGTGTTGTGCTTCTTTAGTCGCATATTCCAGTGACTGTAGCACTCGAGTGGGTGAGGCAGGAGAGTCAAGGACGGCCTTGGAAAGGGCTCCAAATACAGAAGGGCAGGAAGACAATCGCTTTAGCGTTTTCTGCAGCTGTGACTCCAGTTGCCTGGGTTTATACGGATGGAAGCCGGACATGCTGGGTTCCAGAAGCTGTGAAAAACAAAATTCTATTGTTTCACTAATGATTGCTATTGCTATGTGCATTCCTGAAACAATAAAGGCAATTATGTAAACTAAACTTTAGAAACCGATTAAAGATCAAACTTGGGCAGAAGCGAGACGAAACTGAGTTTCAGGCCAGTACCCTGTCTCAAAGTAGCACAACAATAACAAAGGACCTAACATCCACTGGGCGGTGTGCTTTCAACCCAGCAAGACAACCACAACAACGACAAACCAAAAACAAACCAAAATAACAAACAAACATACAAAAAAAATCCCAATAAAATAAAACAAAGCAAAACAAAAAAAAAACATAAAACTCTTGCAAACACGAGGGACTTGACTGTGTACTGGGTCAATGCATGAGAAAGTGAGATTGGAATTTTAGATACCGAATCCTATTGATAACTGGGTACTTTTGTGATCATCTACCCAGCATGGCCAGAATCTGCCAACTGAAAAAAGTGATAAAATATCCATTGGACTCCAGGAGTTTTCATGGAGACAAAATCGCCTAGAGACAATGGGAGAATATTTTGCACAATGAAAAATATTATGTAGATATGATAACTGCCATACCTTGAGTTCAAGACTGCCTTTGTTTTTTTTGTATCTAGAGCATCCTTTTGAATTTTAGGAATTCTCTTCTTCCTATGTTCCAGGTATTTTGCGGGTAGGGTGATTAGTTGTCAACTTAAACTATAAATTCCCAACCCCCTGTTTTGAGTTGTATGTTTAAAGTTAGAGAAACCTAGGAAGTATCTTTCCTTTTTCCTTCCTCCTTTTTCCTTCCCTCCCTTCCTCCCTCCCTCCTTCCTTCTCTCCTTTCCTTCCTCCCATTATTCTTTCCCTTCGTTTTTGAGACAGGGTTTATCTGTGTATCCCTGGTTGTCCTCAAATTTGCCCTGTAAACCAGGCTGACCTCGAACTCTTGAGATGTGCCTGCAACTTCCCCTTGAATGCTGGGATTAAAGGCGTGGGCCACCACATCTGGCAGGGAAGTTCCTTTCATGTATTTATTTATAGACAGGACAGGGGGGAGTTGTGTTGAGAATAGCTTCGAACTCTTGATCATTGTGTCCCCACGCCCGAAGTGCTGCCATTATACGCGAGCACCAGCAAACTGGGTTTGTTTAGCTTTGGGATTCAAGCTCAAGAGTTTGCAGCATTCAAGGTAAGCACTTTAGCAAGTTACAGCTTTAATTGCCTGCCTGCCTGAGTGCCTCCGTGCTTGCCTGCCTACTTACCGGCCACCTAGCTGTCATATACTGTTACTCTTTCCCTTAACTGACGTATTAGCGCTGTGGCTTCAGGCTGCCCTAAAAGAAGATGGCGCCTATCGTTGTGCGCATGCTCCTTGACGTCCAGCCTACGCGCCTCGGGGTCGCGCACGTCAGGCAGTGCCGTTGCCTTACTTCCGCTGGTGCAGAAGCGGGGTTTCCGCGGGATCAGGCCGGCGTCCGAGGGTACTTGGTAGTGTGCGGTGGGGCGGGAAGAGGCACGTTAGACGAGGGACTCCGGGGCGGAGGCTGCCCAGGATGAGGGGCGTCTGCTCCGAGGCTGGGTGCGCGGTGCGTGAAGGGGATTGCGTAGCCGGGGTGTGAGTGTGTGTGTGGGGGCGGGCTTGGGCCAGTGTTGAGCGGTGAGGAGAGCGCAGCTAGGACTCCCTCTGAAATGTTTTCCCGGACGCCGAGGGCCCCACCCCCACCCCCACCCCCCGGGGTGCAGTACGGCGGGGGGGGTGGGGGGTATCCCCCCTGCCCCTGGTCTCTAAGGAGCAGACTCTTGGAGCCACTGTTGTGTGAAGCCCTTTCAGCGATCCCCGCACAGTTCTGACAGAACAGCTGCTGGCTACTCCCTTCTCCCCGCACTCTTACTGCTACCCCCCTCCCTGAATCTCACGAAGTCATCTGTGAAATAAAGGAATCGCCTAGGTGATTCCCATTCCCCTTCTTGGTCACTTACCACCCTCCCTGACAGGATCAACGAATCTTCTCTGGGTCATTGAACTTTACCAAGAGAAGAACCTGGGTTGTTATGGTGAGGGCCTCCTTTAATGCCCTAGAGAAGGTGCATTGCAGAGGCTTAAGGTTATCTTCATAGATGAAACTTGGAGTCGGAGGGAACAAAGCCTGCCACTAGTAAGTTTCCTCTAGTACTGTTGAGTGCTCTTTCAGACTTGAAAGGTTGGCAGTGAATTATTCTGTTCTTGGAACTCCTTGTCAAAGTGTTTTTGTGGGGAAGGATGCAACCAGAGAGAGGCTGGGGATGTACTCAGATGGTAGAGTGCTTACCTTCCATGCATAAAAGGATGCAACCAGAGGCTGGGGATGTACTCAGATGGTAGAGTGCTTACCTTCCATGCATAAGGCTTCGGTTCCCAATGCATAGAATGGCATGCTGTATAAACACCTGTAAGTGGAGGCAGCAGGGCCACAAGTTCAAAATCTTCCTGAGATAGAAAGCAAGTTAGAAGCCACTCCTCCAGTACCTATGTAAACGCTAAGTGCTTGGTCCAAACGCAGCGCAGCATTGTTCAAGCCCACGTTCATCCATTCACCTCTCAGGCAACAGTCAGTGAGTGCCGACATACCCACATGGTGCTGGGGCTGGAGACACCAGTTAAGGGTTCCCTTTTCTCAACCGAGTTCATATCCTAGCCTTTGCGGATGGAGAGCCAGAGATTACAAAAGTGATATGTGATATTGTAAGATTTACTTTTGAATTTTTGGATTCCATGTCTGTCTGTGGGCATTTGAATGTGAGTGTTAGTGGCCAGTTCCAGGCTGGCCTAGAACTTACCAGCTATGCTTTGAACTCATAGAGATCCACCTGCCTGTCTTCCTAGGCAGGGAAGAGAGGCCTGTACCATCTCTGCAAGCCTGAGGTAACAAGCTTAGCCTAGTCAAGGTACCATAATAATTCAGTTTGGAATTTGAATTGAGCTAGTGTCTCATCCTCCCCTAAAAATCCTAGGCATTTGGTGTCAAATTCTATGTTGATGAATGAGCTTGGGGATCATGAGATGAAAACTGATCAAATGTTATTATTGTTACTCCCCCATCCCACCCCAGGGTTGAAGCGTGTCCTGGAACTAACTCTGTAGACCAGGCTGTCCTTGAAGTCACAGATCTGCCTGCTGCCTCCTCCAGAGTGCTGGCATTAAAGGAGTACACCACCACCACCACCACCACCACCACCACCACCAGTTATTAATTACTATTAATACTACTGAGGTGACCAAGACTTGCCCTGTATCCTTTCAGGATGGACCAGAAGTGGGACTTGTACAATGTTGCCCTGTAAGAAGAGAAGAGCTACAGTGACAGAGTCTGTGCACCAGCAGGATAGCCAGGAGGGAGATGACTTAGACTTAGAGTCATCTGTGAAGCCTGAATCTGTCCAGCTTAAAGATTTGGCGTCAGAGTCACTATCCTGGGATCAGCACCATGAGAGTGCAGTGTGCCCATGTGTGGCCTCCAGTCATGATGTAGAAAATCAGCTCAGCGTGGAGGATCCGTCTCTGCGCCCTAAGATGCTCACCCAGCATGGAAACCCACCTGTTTTGGAGGCTGTTGATGGAGCCATCGCTCAGGAAATCGCCCTTCCTTCCTTGGAGTCTTCTCATTCCCTGACTGTACACATGGATAAAGAGAGACTCCAGGCCACAGCCTCAAGGAAAGGGAAGAAAATTGTCTTCCCGCCTGGGCTGGTTACCAGAGAAGACCAAGGGGATCATCCTGTCATGGAGGAGCCTCCTTCAGGAGAGCCGGGTGAAGAAGTCATGGCAGAAGGAGGTAAGGGGGAAAGGTCTCGGTTGCTTTTTCCTTGCCTGTTTAGGTTGAGCATCCCTGATCTGAAGCTCTACACTCTAAAATGCTGCACACTTAACTTGATGCTGTAAGTGACAAATCCCACACCTGACCTTAGGCGGAGGGCTGTGTCAGAATGCAGGCTTTCTTCGATCATTGTATGAGACTGTCTTCAGATGACAAAAGGGCAATCTGTGAGAAGTAAATGAGTTGCCTGTTTAAGCGTGGGTCCCATCTCAAGAAATCGTGAGTGTATATCTTCCTAAGGGACCCAGGCTTTTTAGTTAAGGGGCAGGTAGGTAACCTGTGCCACTTTGTTGTTTTCCTTTCCTCTTTTTGAGTGTTTCTCTCTACCTAGCTCTGGCTGTCCTGGAACTTACCCGCCTCTCGAGTGCTGAGAGTAAAGGGGTGGACCACCACCACCCCTGGCTTGTCTTTGCTCTCTGTGGTGCTTTTACAGAGAAGTGTTTCTTGACAGGATATTTTTGTGGTGTGGACTTGCACCTGGAACTGTTCTTCTCATTAAACACAGTGAACCTTATGAATGGGTCCAGATTTTCTCTCCAACTCTCTGTATTGTCTTCTGTTTCCCCCTCCCCCACTAAAAGAATTGATGTTAATGTGTATTTCTTTTGGATGCATATATATGTCCTTTGTACATTCCTGGTGACCATGGAGGCTAAGGAGAGTGTCAGAACCTTTGGAACTAACATTAGGAATGAACGGTTGAGCCTCCATGTGGCTGCTACCTATCAAACCTGGGTTCTGTTCAAGAGCTCCTGTTGCTCTTAATTTCTGAGCTATGTCTGTATTCTTTTCCCTCTCCGTTTCACTTTGAACCTTTGTTTTGTATATCTAGAGAGACGAACTATGAATAGTCTGTTAAATTGAGAATTTAGGCTGAGTGTTGGTGGCACACGCCTTTAATCCCAGCACTCGAGAGGCAAAGGCAGGTGGATCTCTGTGAGTTCGAGGCCAGCCTGGTCTCCAGAGCTTGTGCCAGGATAGGCTCCAAAGCTACACAGAGAAACCCTGTTTTGAAAAACCAAAAAAAAAAAAAAAACAAAAACAAAAATACAATAAAAAAAGTTAAGAATTTATAAAGCTGGAAGACTATTGTTTGGACACTGAGAAAGGCTTTCCAGAGGTGATAAAATTCTTTGGACTAAAGGCTCTGAGAGCTGCAGTTTGACAGAGTGGTGGCATATACACCTAGGCTAGAGATAAAGAGACAGAGGAGGATGCTACAAAGTATATCAGAAGAATTAGGAAAAGGTTACTTACTCCAAGTGGCAGTTGTAAAGAACATTAGTTTTCTCACTTATGTGTTGTAATTTTTCTATTAGGTAACTTTATTAATAGGTAAGCAAAGCTAACACCATCTCTTACTTTGTTTGCAGTGCCAGAGATTGATTTTAGGGGATTGTACATACTAGGCATACGCTCTGTATCACAGTACTGGCCTCCTATTGATTTTCTCTCTCCTTTCAAAAAAGTTGCTTTTGGTTTTTAGGGATAATGTCTCTCACTGGAGGTCAGGGTGATCTGAAATTCATTTCTCAGGCCTGTCTGGGCTTCAGTATATGTCTTCTGCCTCTCCCTTCTGAGAGCTAAAGTTATGGTAATTACATATTGTGCTAGCATGCTTCATAGGATAAACTTCATTTATTTTTAGTTTTCAATATTTTCCAAAATGTACATATTTAAGTTTTTGATTACTATATGTGAGTTTGAAGGCAGATTATAGAGCAATACACTATATCTGAAGCCAAGGGATGGGATATATGGGATATAGGTCAATAGTTGGGACTCTTGCTTTACATATTCATGGCCCTTAATTTGACCCTTATTGGTGTGTGTATGTGTGTGTCTGTGTCTGTGTATTGTGTCTGATCATTGTAATTTCAGCTATTCCAAATAGTGTATACTATTTTTGTTTTTTCTCTCTCTTTTAAATTATGTTAATATTTATTCTGATGTATGCCAACCAGTTATAAGGTCAAATCTCTGTTAATAACTATCAGGAGGCAAAGAGAACAATTGTGAATAGAAGTTAGGGTTTTGACTGCAGGTGAGCCTCACCAACAGAATGCTCTTGTATCCATCAAGTCCACGCTCAGTGATAAGCATCTATCCTAGGGCCTCTGGTGTTCTGGGAATGCTTTGACTTGAGTTACAACCCCAGCTATGCCTTGTTTCTCCCTCTGAGCTCTTTAGCAACTAGCTTTGTTGGTTTTGGTTTTGCTTAAATTTTAATTACTTCATAAAAAAGGTTTATTTTCTGTGTATGAGTTTTTTGTCCACATGTATGTGTTTGTCCTCTCATGTCCATGTCTGGTTGTTAAGAGAGATCTGAAGAGGGCATCAGACAGCCTGGAACTGGATTTTCAGATGGTTTTGTACTGCCATGTCGGTGATGGATACTGAACTTAGGTCCTGTGGAAGAACATAAGTGTACTTTTAACTGCTGAGCACTCTCCCTCCCACCATTAGTCAAAAAACCAATTGTTTATTTTATGTGTGTGGGTCTTCTGTCTGCATATATGTCTGTGTACCAAATGTGTGCCTGATACCCACCAAAGCTGGAAGAGGGTGTCAAAGATTCCCTGGAACCTGAGTTTCAGATCTGTTGTGTGCTGGCATGTGGGTGCTGGGAATCCAACTTGGGTTCTCTGGAAGAGCTCATCATCGTTGAGCATCCCTACCACTACTTGACATCCAGGGTATTTATAAAGCAAAGGATGTTTGGAGTTCTTTGTTTTTCAGATTGATTTTTTTAGGGCTAGAGAGTGGTTTAAGAGCATTGGCTGTTCTTCCAGAGGACCCGGATTCAATTCCCAGTGCCCACATGGTAGCTCACAACTGTCTGTAACTCCAAGTCCAGAATTCAACACTCTCACAGACAGACAGACATACATACAACAAAACACCAATAAGATAAATAATTTTAAAAGTGATTTTATTTTTAGATTATGTACAGTGTTCTTCCTGCACGGATGCTTCCACATCAGAAGAGGGCACCAAATCTCATTATAGATGGTTGTGAGCCATGAAGTGGTTGCTGGGAATTGAACTCAGGACCTCTAGAAGAACAACCAGTGTTCATAACCTCTGAGTCGTCTCATCAGCCTCTTGAAGTTTGGAGGTCTGTAAGGTTTTTAAAACCCAATGTGGCTAAGTGAGAGGAAGAAAGTTTCAAAGAAAAAGAACTTTGTACCATGCATGATTTTGCTATACAAAAATGGAAGAGACAGGGAGGGAGGGAAATTAGTATATATGAATTAATTTCAAAAGAGTAATTGGGAGCAGGAAAGGTGGCTCAATGATTAAGAGCACATACTGCTCTTTCAAAGGACTGAAGTTAAATTCCCAACACTTAGTTTGAGTTGCTTACAGGTACCTATAACTGCAGCTGTTGGGTAGTTACAGCATCTCTGATCTCTGCAGGCACGTGTTCATGCCTGCAGAGATCAGAGGCATACATAAACACACACACACACACACACACACACACACACACACACACACAGAGTATTTTTTTTTTTTTTTTTAAAGGACAAAGTCTGGGGCTGTAGCTAAGTTCCTAGAGTGCTTGCCTAGCATTCATGAAGTTCTGGATTGAAGCCTCAGCAAGTCATAAAACATGGTGTGGTGGAGTACATCTGTAACTCTCAGCATTTAGGAGACAGCAACAGGCGGATCAAGGGTTCTAGTGCATCCTTGGCGGTGCATTTGTGGTTTTGAAGCCAGCCTGAATAGGAGTCCCTGCTTCATAAAACCAAACCAGAATTGTAGGCTAACTTGGAATAGTTCCAGATGTTTCAGGTGACAGAAGTTCCAGTGAGGAAAGCTCTGCTGTCAACCTGGATATGGGTACTTTGAAGAGCAATTTTATGTGGATTTAAAGGTGCTGGCATGTATTTCAAAATATTGTAAGCTGGGCGTTGTGGTGTTTGCCTGTAATCCAGGCACTCAGGAGGCTGAGATAGGAGGATTGCTGATAGATAGAGGCCAGTCAGGAGTACATTGCAAGATTCTGTCTCAAGAAAAGGTAAGGTGTGGGTATAGTGACCCATGCCTGGAAGCTCCCCACATGGGGGTGGAATTCAAGGTCATCTTTGGTTTTATAGTGACTTTGAGGTCAGCCTGGGTTACATGAGACCTGGCTTTGGAGAAAAAAATACAGTGCTGGGCACGCATGGCGGGACAGTCCTTTATTCCCAGCACTCAGGAGGCAGAGTCAGGCAGATCTCTGTGAGTTTGAGGCCAGCTTGGTGTGCATAGTGCCTTCCGGGACAGTCAAGGGGTGTGTAGAGGGACCCTGTATCCAAAACAATCAAAGGAAGAAGGGGAGGAAGCAGGACAAGTATGTATGTAGACATACCTGAAATTTCAGTGCCAGGGTGAGTTACTGTTAGTTGTTTCCAGCCTGAGCTGGCCTTGAGTTCACTGTGTATCCCAGACTGGACATAACTGAGAGCATGTCCTCCTTCCACTGTGTGGGTTCTGGGGATCAGACTTGGTTACAATCAACTTTGACCTGCTGAGCTATTTTACCAGTCCCTGATGGATTAGAGAGCAGTTACTACGGTCCTTGTTAAGCAAAGCCTGTTGCATGTTGCCAATGGAGGTGACTTTAGATTCTATAAACAAAAGGAGGCAGCAAACACATCAAAAACATTTTGGAAATGTAGAAAGTAGCATACACCTGTATGTGGTGGCATACACCTGTAATGTTTGCCTTTGGGAAGCTGAGGCAGGACGCTGTGTCTCCTGGCTGGCTTCAGCTATGTAGGGAGACCTTGTCTCAAAATAAAAACAAGGGTTCAGCCATTAAAGTTTGTACTCCCAAGCCATATATCAAAATAAAACCAAACAAACCACTCTCCCCAAGGAAACCCCAAACAAATGAATACAGAGTTCAGTGAGCATCAGACTTCTCCCCTTATTCTTGTGAAGTGATGAGCACTTGTTCAGGCTCTGCTCTGCCTCCTGCCCTCCACTCTTTCCCTCTGATCCCCTGTAGCAGCTCCTTGGGTGTGTCTCAGAGATATTTTGTGTATATGCAAGTGCTGATGCATTCTTTTTTTTTTCTTTTAAAACATTGGTTTCTTTTTATGTTTAACTATTTTCACTTTCTGAATTTCTTCTTTGGACTGGTCTGAAGTTAGTGAGTCATTTTCAGTCAATGTGCACAGTCTGTTACAGGTTAACTTGAACTCCTGTTCTACACTGTCCCTCTCCTCAGTGCTACACTTGACTCGTCTCAAAAAAAAAAAAAAAAAAAAAAAAAAAAAAAAAAAAAAAAAAGAAAAAGAAAAAGAAAGAAAGAAATTAGTTTTAAAGACCTGGTCTCATCATATAGCTTTGCTACCTGGCACTCATTCTGTATGCCAGGCTGGCCTCGAACCTAGAGATATGACTGCCTCTGCTTCCCCAGGATTTGGTTAATGGTGTTGCCAAACTCTGCTGTTTGTTTATTTGTGTGCTTGTGTCTGTTAGTGCATGTGAGGATTTGGAAAGCAAAGACAGCTCCCAGGAATAGTGTTTTTTTTTCTCTCCTTCTCTTTCTCTGTCTCTCTCTGTGTGTCTGTCTCTCTGTCTCTCTTGTGAGACAGTTTCACTTTGTAGTCCATACTGGCCTGCAGCTCACAGAGATCTTCCTTCTTCTGTGTTCCCATTGCTGACATGTGCCACCTAGCATATGAGTCTTCCTTCTCCTGAAACTCCCTATGTACATCAGATTGTCTTCCAATTTACAGTGTTGACCAGTTGATTTTCATGTTTCTTTTTGGCAGTATGTATTTAATGATTAATGGTATATTAATTTATTTGTAAAATTAATTATAGAGTCAGGAATGTCTGCTTTTATTTGTTTATCTATTTACTTTTTTATTTTCAGACCTAGCCTCGCTATGGAGCCTATGCCTTAAACTCAATATCCTTCTGCTTCAACCTCCCCAGTGCTAGGGTCATAGTTGTGTGCCAGTATGCCTCAGACAGTTTTCATTTTTACAATTTTTAAATTTTTATGTCTGTTGTTAGTAGTTTCTATTGTTCTGTTGTTTCTATTGCTGTGAAGAGACACTATGGCCAAGGCAGCTCTTATAAAAGAAAATATTTATTTGGGTCCTGGTTTATAGTTTTAGTGGGTTAGTTCAGTGTCACCTTGCTGTGGTGGATGACAACATGATGGCAAGTGTGGTGCTGTAGCAGTAGCTGAGACCTTTACATTTCCCGTCCACAGACAAAGAACCACTGGGCCTGGCATGGGCTTTTGTGAAACCTCAAAGCCCACCCCCATTGCTACTCTTCCTCCAACAACACTGTATCTCCTAGTCGTTTGAATCCTTCTCAAACAGTTCACAACTGAGGAGTAAGCATGCAAATATATGAGCCTATGGGGGTCATTCTCAATCAAACCACAGATAGGTGTTTTGCCTATCTGTATACCAGGTGCATGCCTATGCCTGTAGAGGGCAAAAGAGGGCATTAGATCACCTGGAATTGTAGTTACAGGTGGATGTGAGTTGCAGTATGGGTGCCAGGAATTGAAAGAACAGCCATTGCTCTTAATCTCTGATCCAGCTCCTACCTGGGACATTTTTATATCTTTTTCTGGTGTTAATGTAGGGTTAATAGTCAAGTCTAAATACATGTCTCTATAATGATCTGATAGTGTTGTGAATTGAACCCAGAGCAGACATATGTACTAGGCTAACTATTTACCACTAAACTAAATCCCCAAAAAGGTCTTATTTTTCTTAGGAAAGCATAGGGTTCAAAGCATATTTGAATTCAAAATGTTATTGCAGCAGTTATCTAGTTCATTCTGTGAATTATAGGTGAATAATTTGGATCTGAATTTTCATTTCGTTATTTGTTTTTGGGAGCCTATCTTGAAGAGAAGGGAAAGCCTATGTGTATAGTATGCTTAATGAAGGTGTCTAACATGAAGATCTTAGGAAAAGATGCTAATTCTGCAGTAGCACGTGATTAAGAATGAGCAGAGTGTGGAGCATTGTTTGCGATTCTTTTAGGAAAACTTGAGATGCATTCTGGAGGGGAGTTACCTTTTCTGTCATCTGGCAGCCAGTCTGCAAAACCAGGAGCCCAGCCTAGGAAACCATTCCAGCCAGATGGTTCTGCCTTTCCTCAAGAAAAGCCACTCAGAACTGTGGTTCACCAGACTGAGGAAGAGAAGGAGGATGGTGGACTCTTTATTCCAATGGGTAGGCTTTCTTTTTCTTTTTAATTAAAACAGAACAAAACAAAAACAATTGAAGCAGCATCAAAGCAACAGACTATTGAAGCACATAATACGTATGTAGTAACTGCACACATCAGCTGGCTGGGGTTTTCTGTCAAGGTAATGGCAGCATCTGGAACTTAGAGACCAACCTTGTCTTCCCTTTCAGTTCCTAGTTGAACACCTTGGTAGTAATAAACCCTGACTTCTACTAGCATGTGTTCATTCAGCCTCTTTGTCTTTATAAAACAAATGGGATTAGCTGTATTTGCTTTTGGTGGTTGTTTTCTACTCTGTGTTTTTTTGTTTGTTTGTTTGTTTGTTTGTTTGTTTGTTTTTCGAGACAGAATTTCTGTGTGGCTTTGTAGACCAGGCTGGTCTCAAACTCACAGAGATCCACCTGCCTCTGCCTCCTGAGTGCTGGGACTAAAAGGCGTGTGCCACCACCACCCGGCTCTACTCTGTGTTTTATGTATGAATTCATACTACCAAAATTCATTTGGGGCTGGAGAGATGGCTCAGCGGTTAAGATCATGGGCTGTTCTTTCAGAGGATCCGGGTTCAATTCCCAGAACCCACGTGGCAGCTCAGAACTGTCTGTAACTCCAGTTCCTGGGGATCTGACACCTTCACACCAATGCACATAAAATAAAGTTAAATTATTTTTAAAAAATTCATTCATACTGCCTAAAGTTGTAGATTGTTCGTTTTATTGCTGTTTAATGTTCTGTTGTTTGAATATTTTACCCTTGAGCCATATTACCAGCATTTTAATTTTTTGTTAGGTTATTAGGAGTATTTGCAAATCATGGAAAATGGGTGCTGAACTTCATAGGAAACACTTTTTGATGTTGGGTTTCACGTGGACAGCCAAGGTGTCCTCAGATTTAAGACACTTCTGCCTTTGTTTATGCACTATGGCTTATTTATTATTCACTTATTTATTATTTATTTATTTATTTACTTATTTATTTCAGCCAGGGTCTGTCTGTTATGTAGCTCTGGCTGTCCTGGACCTTACTGTGTATACCAGGCTAGCCTCAAGCTCACAAAAATCTACATGCATCTGTATTCTGAGTACTGGAATTAAACACACAGCTGGGATTTAATTAATTAATTAATTAATTTTTTAAAAAGATTTTATTTATTTATATGTATACAACATTCTGTTTCCATGTATATCTGCACATCAGAAACGGGCACCAGATCTCATAATGGATGGTTGTGAGCCACCATGTGGTTGCTGGGAATTGAACTCAGGACCTCTGGAAGAGCAGTCAGTGCTCTTAACCTCTGAGCCATCTCTCTAGCCCCCTAATTTTTTTATTTTTAAAGAAAGCTTTATTTATTTGTTTGGTTATTTATAGTAAGGGTGACTCTATGTAGTCCTAGCTGGTCTGTAGATCAGGCTGACCTTAAACTCATAGAAGTCCACTTGCCGTGCGTGCGTGCGTGCGTGTGTGTGTGTGCGCCATGTATGTGTGGGTGCCTCTGGAGGTCAGAAGAGGGCATTGGATGCCTTGGAGCTGGAATTAGGGTTGTTGTGGACTGCCAGATGTTTGTGCTGGGACTGTCCTTTGGATGAACAAGCGCTCTTAATATTTGAGCCATCTCTCTAGCTCTTTATTTTATTTTTGTTTTTAATTAAGGGATACAAGTTTTTTTAATTAATTATTTACTTATTTTTGTGCGTGTATGTGTGTGGGCACTCCAGCCATTGCATACATGTGAAGTCAGAAGACAGTGCTTCAGAAATTATCTTCCTCTATCTGTAGGTCTTGGGGGTTGAACTCAAATTGTCAGACTTGGCTGCAAGTGCCATTACCTGCCGAGTCACCCTTGTGGCCAATGGGACTTTTTTTTTTTAAGTGAAGGTGAGTTTATATATTTCTGTTTGTTTGTTTGTTTGTTTGTTTGTTTGTTTTTCGAGACAGAGTTTCTCTGTGGCTTTGGATGCTGTCCTGTTACTAGCTCTTGTAGACCAGGCTGGTCTCGAACTCACAGAGATCCACCTGCATCTGCCTCCTGAGCACTGGCTTGTTTTATATATTTCTTTTATTTATTATGTTTTTATGTCCTCTCTCCAGAAATCTTTACCTACTTTTACATCGCAGAATATTTTCTCTTGTCTTCTAGAAATTTTACAATTTGAATTTTTACCATGTGTGTTTGTTTTGTGGAAAGAATTAAGATACTTGTTTTCGGATGGGTGTGGTGGGGCAAGCCTTTAATCCCAATACTCTTAGGCAGATCTGTGAATTCAAGGCCAGCCTGGTCTATTTAGTAAGACCTTGTTGCAAATAACCAAAACAACTAAATAATAAATAAATATACAAACAAATTGTTTGAGGGGCAGGATGGATGAGTATGGGTTTTTATCCTAGTACCACTTATTAAATTGTTTTTAAGGTACCTGAACTTTTTTTTTTATACATAAAGCCTGTGTGATTTCGTTTTTTGTTTGTTTGTTTTTTTTGTTTGTTTGTTTTTCGAGACAGGATTTCTCTGTGTAGCTTTGGAGCCTGTCCTGGCATTCGCTCTGGAGACCAGACTGGCCTTGAACTCACAGAGATCCGCCTGCCTCTGCCTCCTGAGTGCTGGGATTGAAGGCGTGCGCCACCAACGCGTGGTGACTTGTTCGATTTGTTGTAGCAATATGGTTATTGGTGTGTGTGTGTGTGTGTGTGTGTGTGTGTGTGTGTGTGTGTGTGTGTGTGTGTAAGCAGACATGTTCGTATAGTGCATGTGTACTCCTGCAGTGAATGTACATTGAAGTTCATATGTAGACGTCCCTACACAATCCTTAGTTCTGTCCTTCCACAGTGCCATCTAAATCTAACTCAGGTCATTAGGCCTTCATGACAATTGCCCTTACCTGCTCAGCCATCAGCCGTTTTGTTAACCTGAGATATATAATATAATTTATATAATATATATAATTTTCTAGGGGAGAGGATTACTTCGTAGTCCAAACTGGATATAAACTTGTGGCAATTTTATGCCTCATAAAAGGTGGAATTACAAACAAGTGTGTGCCATCATGCTTGGCTGTTGTGTGATGATCAGAAGACTCCTTTGGATTTCTTTAGTTTTCTACTCGATATCTTTTGTTTCAGTTCAGTCCTAGACCCAACATTTCACTTTCTTATTTATGGTCCTTAGTCCTTTCTACTCAGACTCCTCCTTGTCTTTAGTTACTTTATAGTTTTTTCTCTCTCTCTCTCTGTTTTTGTTTTTTGCTTTTTTTTTTTTGAGGCTGGGTTTCTTTGTGTAGCATTGGCTATCCTGGAATTCCCTTTGTAGACCAGGCTCTAACTCAGAGATCTACCTGCCTCTGCCTCCCCAGTGCTGAGATTAAAGGTGTGCATCACAACCGCCCGACTGGATTATGTTTTTAAATGACATCAGGTAGTGTTTATTTTTTTTAATATTTTATTTATTTATTATGTATACAACATTCTGCCTCCATATATGCCTGCGCGCCAGAAGAGGGCACCAGATCTCAATACAGATGGTTATGAACCACCATGTGGTTGCTGGGAATTGAACTCAGGACCTCTGGAAGAGCAGCCAGTGCTCTTAACCTCTGAGCCATCTCTCCAGCCCCTCATGTAGTGTTTATATGTGTGTATTTGTGTGTGGGTGTGGGTGTGGTCCATAGCGTGAACATGGTGGTTAGAAACACAACCTGGGGGAATTGGTTCTCTGCTTCCACCATGTGAGTGTTGGGGATAAGACTCAGGTGTTTGGCTTGGCAGAAAGAAAGCATCTTTACCAGTTGAGCCATTTCACCTGCTCCAATTAATACCTTTTAGTCTTTATTCTGTTTAGTGTGTGTTTGTGCACAGACATGCATGAGTATGTGCTCCATGACAGTGGTGTGGAGGTCAAGTCATTAGGCTTGTTGAGACCCGCTTGGGGTCGGGGGTTCAGGTCCCAAAGAGCATGTGTGGAGACGGGGGTAGGAGGGTGGGTGTGGCAACAACAGACAGGATCTGAAGGTGAATCAGGATGGCTGCCAGCAGCATTTATTGAAAAAAAAAATACAACTTTCATACTCTATGGTTGCACATAGAGATAAATGGGAGACAAGGGGCATGTGAGCTGGGGTGTAGTTTGAGATCAGGGATTGAGGAGTCTAGCATTGATCTCGACAAGCTAGTGGGCACCAATTATATGTAACTGGAAGGGCCAAGTTCTTGCCAATGCTGAGGAGAATGACTGCTTTAGCACGAAGGAACTTTCCTCCAGCTTCTGAAGGCAATGGAAACCCTTATCCAAATGCCTGCTCTTGGTAAAAGGACTTCTTCTGGGGACCAGACACTAAACTACAATTTAAGAGCAGTTTTTATTCCTCAAGAGGATAAGCACTGAGCTGTTTCCTTTTGTGTCTTAGTCTTACTGTATGGGTCTGTTCCCATCATTCCCTCCCAAAAGGGAAGGCCCTGATGTCTTACTCTTTTCACACTGTACTATACCGTTCTGATTTCTCTACACCATTAACTGAACTCTTGACCTTAATGGCTTCAGGCTCTGGATCTGAATGTAGTCATTTCATCCTTGGGATCAGGTGTATTTAGTAAATTTCTTACCCTTATTTTTTTATTTTTTTCTAAATATTTTCCTAAGTCTAACTTAATAATATATATTTATCTATGGATTTTCAAAAAATTCTGCATCATAAATTTCCTGCTTGCATGTGTTTCTATGCACCATATGCCTGTAGAAGCCAGATGATGGCATCGGATCCTGCGGATCTGGAGTTACAGGTAGTTGTGCGCCACTATGTGTGTTTCCAATTGAATCTCCTCTAGAAGAGAAGTCCATGCTTTTAACCACTGAGCCATCTCTCTATCCCCACCTCCCACCCCCCCCCCCCCTTTTTTTTTTTTTGAGTTAGGGTTTCACTGTGTAGGTAGCCCTGGCTAGACTGAAACCTGTGTAGACTAGGTTGGCCTTTGGCAGATCTATCTGCCTCTTTCTGGGATTCAAGGTGTGTGGTCAGTGTGCCCAGCATAGCAGAGGTTCTTTATGTTGCTCATGTCATTCTCTATGGACTCTACTGGCCTGGAACTTGTACTATGTCTTCTCATCCCAAGGTGTTACAGATTTGCCATCAGATCTGGCAGGGACATTTTTTCTGTTTCAGTTTTCTCATCTGTACAATGGGAAAATGAATAGTTTCTATCAAATATCAAATAGTTTGCAGTATGTTTCATGAGTTTTAGGTTTTTTGTTTTTTGTTTTTTTCATTTGTTTTCTGTTCTTTGGGAATGTTTTGTTTTTGGGGGTTTTTTGTTCGTTTGTTTGTCTGTTTTGAGACAGGGTTTCTCTATGTAGCCCTGGCTGTCCTGGAACTCACTCTGTAGACCAGACTGGCCCTGAACTCAGAGATCCATCTGCCTCTGCCTCCTGGGTGCTAGGATTAAAGGTGTGTGTCACCACTGCTTGGCTTGTGTTAGCTAATTTTTTTTTACTTTGTTCTTTCAAGACAGGGTCTCAATATTTAGTTCTGCATGTTCAGGAACTCACTATGTAGACTAGGCTGGCTTTGATCTCAGAAATCTACCTGTCTCTGCCCCCCTAGTGCTGGCATTCAAGGTGTTTGCTACTATACCCAGCCATGTGTTAGGTATTATGACCAGTGGCATAGTACCATTACCAGCTCCATAATATACCACCATTGCCACATGATGGTGTGTGATTTTCAAGTTAGACAGCAGGCAGGTTGGTTTCTTTCCACTGTTGGTTGGGGGCCGAGTTCCTAGAGAAGTTGTTTTGGAGATTCTAGGACTTTCTTCTTGGTTCATTTGCAGAAAGACAAGAGAATGAAGAAAGTGATAGAAGAAAAAAAACTAAAAAGGGTACCAAGAGGAAACGAGATGGAAAGTGTCAAGAACAAGGGACGATGGCACATGACCTAAACCTGGATGACATGCTGGATCGTACCTTAGAGGATGGTGCTAAGCAGCACAATCTGACAGCAGTCAATGTACGGAACATCCTGCATGTGAGTAGCCGTGGGCAGCTACATATTTCACCTAGAAACTTTCCATCGAGAACAAATAAGTAGACCTGTAACTCCCCTGACTCCAGGTGTATGAATTAGCAGTTTTGTTGGTTAAGTGTGACAAAATGTGTTCCATCTAAGGATTAGGTTTCTCTTTGCACTCAGCACAAGTGAGAAGTCTGAACAGGAGTTAAGATGAACTGCCCATACCTCCTTCCACTGATCTGATTAGTAAGATTCCTATTCAGAAAAACATCCATAGTAGTAGTGCTTTGTGCATGTGTGAAGAATGCCTTTGAGAGCTAGAAGAGTAATAGCTTAGCATGCACAACAGGCAAGATCAAAAATTAATGCCTTTGATGCATAATTTTCTTCCACCTCTTACCTGGTTCTGTGTATTTCTGTCCCAGTAGCAGGTAATGACTGGGACCATTTGCTGCAACATTTTTTCAAGGTTTGCTTCTGCCTTCTTTATCTTGAGTTGTTTTTCTTGAGCTCAGTTTGAGGATCTAGCTACTGTTTATGCTCCACAGAGATCTATCTATGTCAAGTGGCAGTTAAATAGAAATGAATATTATCTAGATGACAAACTCTTGGCATAAAGTGGGATTTCATCTCTCTCCTCCAGGAAGTAATTACAAATGAACATGTTGTAGCCATGATGAAAGCTGCCATCAGTGAGACAGAAGACATGCCACTGTTTGTGAGTAGCCTCTTGTCACTGTTTCCATGTCATGGAAATTTTCCAGTGTGGGAGGTCATGTAGGATTTTGTAAACAACTTGACACATCTCAGATTGGAAAAAACACACTGTAAGTTTTATTGACCATTTTCTTCATGTATCTCCCTTCTTAGGAGCCTAAGATGACGCGCTCTAAACTGAAGGAAGTGGTGGAGAAAGGAGTGGTATGTGTTGTGAGTTTCTCTTTACCTAGGGAAATAAAATCTCATTCTTGGTTGTTCATAGATAAGGAATACATGAACAGTATTGTTCTGGGTTTGCTTTTTGAAAGAATTATGTTGGCTGAGGCTCTTAGCTCAATGTGAGAATGCTTACCGGATATACATGGGATTGCAGTGTGAACCACCCTGTCCAGGTTTTCATGCTGTGCCCTGGCATGAATCAAGGGCAACCAAGTTACATCCTGGGATAGTGCTTTTTTCATTGTCTTCTGTGTAGCTTTGCTGTTGCTGCTATTGTTTCTGTTGCCGGTGGTGGGTTGGTTGAGTCAGGGTCACACACTGTGACCCAGGCTGCTGACCTGGAACTTACTATAGCCAGGCTGCTCTGAGCTTTTCGCACTCTTCCTCTCTCAGCCCTGCAAGTGCTGGAGTTATAAACCCCACAGTTATTTGAGAATATGATGCTCAGTGACAGTCAACACCAATAGATCATTGTAGCTACTTATGAAGTGGTTAGATATAGTTCTTTGTGATTATCAGTGAAAGGAAAACAGATACATGATATTACTCACATTCTTTTTGATAGGTAATTCCAACCTGGAATATTTCACCAATTAAGACAGCCAATGAAATTAAGGTAAGCTTAGAAGTCTTGTTACCCTTTTTCTAAAATACTTCATCAGTTTTGAAACGTAACTACTTTCTCTATATTCACTATTTTGTAGATATGCCTTTTCTTTTTCTTTTTCTTTTTTTATTAGAGGTTTGGGTTTTTCCATGTTTACACCTAACCTTCCACCTAATGGAATCATGAAAACCCTGCTGTGTTGTTGATGTGACTTAACATTGGGCTCACAGATTTCTTTTTTCTCCCTAATATAGTCACTTCTTTTTCCAAATGTGTGTGACTTGTGCCTCCCTCCCTCCCTTCTCTCCCTCCTTCCCTCCTTCCTTCCTATCCTCCTCCCCTCCCTCCCTTTCTGCCTCCCTCTCTCCTCTCCCTCCCTCCCCCCACCTCTCTTTCCCTCCCATCTGTCCTCTGCTGCAGCCAGAATCCAGAGCCTTATGCCTGGTTAGCATGCATCTGTCTCTGAGCTTTCTATTCTCCAGCCCTGTTCCATTTCTTTCTCTTTGTTATTTCATATTTACTTATTTATTTTGTGTGCTGAGTGGTGGAAGCACCTGTCATAGCATGTATTGGCTCTCTCCTTCTACCATACTGGTCCTGGGGATTGAACTTGGTCATTGGGCTTGTGCCTCTAGCTGCTGAGCTAGAGGCTGTCTTCCCCCACCCCATTGTTTTGTGTGTCTATTAAAGCAGCCTCCACAGTTTGTGGATATTCACCTAGAAGAAGATGACTCCTCAGATGAAGAGTACCAGCCAGATGAAGAAGAGGAAGATGAGACTGCTGAAGAGGTTAGTGAGTGTTCATTGTTGCCGAAGAAAAGAATTGGGCTTGATAAGGATGGGCTTATTTGGTGACCCATTGTCACCCATTCTATAGAGATGATTGAGACATGGTTCTCTTTTCTAATAATTTCTTTGCTGGAGGTGTTTCTCTGCTCTTCAAACTCCCTAAATATTTAGGCTTACATTGTGAAATGGAACACATATAACACAAAGATAAAGTATACTCCCAGCACTTGTGAATGGAGTTCAGGTTTATCCTCAGCTGCACAGTATGTTCTAGACTCTGTATTAGAAACCAACAGAGGAGTGTACCGTCCTCCCCCCTCCCCCCTTGATGTCTTGATAGTTATTTGCTGTTTTCTTTATAGATCTACCACCTAAAAAATGCATGTCTATGTACTGTGGTGTAATTTTTCTTGTTTTTGAGCTTCATCATTATTTTCCTATTTTATTTTATTTTTTGAGAAAAGGTATCAGTGTGTGGCCCTGGCTGGCTTGGAGTTCCCTAGGTAGATCAGGCTAGCCTCAGACTCAAAGAGATCCTCTTGCCTCTACCTCCTGAGTTCTGGGGATGAAGCTGTTTGCCTTCATGCTTGGATATTAACACTTCAGAAGGGGTCTTCTTTTTCTCCTTCTGTTTTTTCTGTTAATCCCTTTGACAGTTTATAATGAAGATGAGGCTGTCGATCTGATCCCTGCCGTCTTTCCCTCTTTAGGATATTAAGTCATTGAAAATTCATTTTCTTTCTAAAATGTATATAGTATTTTTGTATATAGTACATGTATTCTTTCTATGACACAATTATTTTATGTATTATATATTGATGTGTGTATATATGTACACATACATCTGAGTGTGGGCTGTGTTGTTTGTGTGTGCATGCCACAGTTTGCTTGTGGAGATCAGAGGATATTCTGGTAGGAGTTGATTCTTACCTTCCACCATGTAGATCTTGGGAGTCGAGGTCAGGTCGTCAGGCTTGGTCTCATACTCCTAGTCAATTGCTGTGCCATCCTGGCAACCCGAATTCCAGATGACTGGTATTTTGTGATTTATTCTGTTGTGACATTTCGTGCTCCGGACTGAGGTTGGGGCACACACGTGAGAGTGCACTGGGTTTGTTTTAGAGCTTATTGGAAAGTGATGTTGAAAGCACTGCTTCGTCTCCACGTGGAGTGAAGAGATCCAGACTGCGAGCGTCTTCTGAAGTGGCTGAGACAGATGAGGAGAGTGGCATGCTGTCAGAGGTAACCCTAGCACCAGACAAGGGAGACTTTAGACATATATGTGAGCAGTGGCTTCTTTTATAAGTGGCGGATTTACCAGTGGTAATGGTGGGTTGTCACCTTTTCAAAGTCCCTTGAGAGAATGAACAGCTAAGAGACGACTGAGACCTAGTCATGGTCAAGGAGGTTTTCTGAGTTCTCGTTAAGGGTCAGATGTGTGCAACCCGTGTTTTAAGTACTGTCTTTAAAGCCAAGTAGTTTTCTGTTTCTCTCGCTCAAGTAGGATGAGACCTAGTTAGATCCGTGTGTTGAAATGGCCATTCACCTGTCTCCATCTAGAAAAGAGGAAAATGGCCACATTGACTGCATGCAAAGACCGACCTTCCCTGTCTTGCTTTCTTCCTAACACAGTGTTCTTTTTAACCAGGTTGAGAAAGTCACCACACCTGCTGTTAGGCACATCAGTGCTGAAGTAGTGCCCATGGGGCCCCCACCTCCTCCAAAGCCAAAGCAGAGCAGGGATAGTGCTTTCATGGAGAAGTTAAATGCAGTAGATGAGGAGCTGGCTTCTAGTCCTGTCTGCATGGATTCTTTCCAGGTGAGCACCATGACTCTGAATTGCTGAGAAATTCAGTCATGGTTGTTTAACTTCTCACTCTCAGATATGGAGATGGGGCGGACAGAGCGATTTTCATTTTAAATTTTCATGTCGTTGTCATGGTGTCATTTGTCTTTGATTCTCTTGCTTAGTTTGTGCTGTTTTTCTCAAGTAAAAGTGGTAGTGTTTCTGTTTTTCATTATTATTACTATTTTGTTAGTTATTAGTTTAATGATTATAATTAATACAATTATAATTATTCACTTTGGCTTTTGGAGACAGTGTCTCTCTGTGTAGTGCTGGCTGTTCTGGAACTATCTCTGTAGACCAGACTGGCCTCAAATTGAGAGATCCACCAGTCTCTGCCTCCCAAGTGTTGGAATTATAGGGGTTCATCACTGAGCCTGGCTGGTTTTTTTGTTTGTTGGTTTGTTCTTTAGAGACAGAGGTTTACTACGTAGTCCTTGAAGTCCTAGAACTTGATATGTAGGCCTAGCTGTTCATACACATAAGTCCATTCTCATGCCTTAGGTTCCTAGAATGCTGTGATTATGTGTATCAACCAGCATGCCTGATGGAGAATGGTCCTTTCTGAGAAAGGAATAAATTATGGGACAATATTTAAAATTGGGAAGATATGATGGACTTAGTGGCACATGCCTTTAATCTCTAAAACCAAAATAAAAAAATGTTAATGTGAAGGAAACCTAAAATATTTGAAAATATTTGGAAATCACTTTTTGATAAGTGACTTTCACCTACAATAAATTTAAAAATTCTTAGAATTCTGATGTTGGACAGATGGCTCAGTGATTAGGAACAGTGATGCCAAGGGTGTTGGTGGTAATGGGTGGTGGTGCACATCTTTTAACCTAGCACTTGGGTGGCAGGGGCTGGAGGACCTCTGAGTTCCAGGCCATATTGGTCTACAGATGGGTGGTGGTGCGCACCTTTTAACCTAGCACTAGGGTGGCAGGGGCTGGAGGACCTCTGAGTTCCAGGCCATATTGGTCTACAGAGTGAGTTCCAGGACAGCCAAGGCTACACAGGGATACCCTGTCTTGAGAAAAAACAAAACAACCACAAACACTGGCTGTTCTTCCAAAGGACCTCAGATTCAGTGCTCAGCAGTCTGCAGCCGTGTGGTAGCTCACAACTGCCTAAAACTCCAGTTCAGTGGTCCTGCACCCTCTTTTGGCCTTTGTTGGCAATGCTTGTAAATGCTAAATATGCCTGCAAAATTACCCATGCATGTTAAAAAAAAAAAAAAAAGGCTATAAATTATTGTCTAACAAAGGGTTCAGCAAGTAAAAATACTTGGCGACCAAGCCTGAGGATTGATTTTATTTCCCAGAATCCACCTGGTTTAAGGACATCCCATAAGTTGTTCTCTGACTGCCACATGCTCCTCAGTACGTGAACAAACACAATACGTAAATGCTCTATAAATTTCCTTGCTGGGCATGCTGGCACATGCCTTTAGTCCCACAACTAAAAAGGCAAAGGCAAATGGATTTTGTGAGTTTGAGGCCAGCCTGGCCTACATTATGAATTCCAGGTCAAGCAAGGCTATGTTGTAAGACCCTGTCTCAAAACATTAAAACAAAGCAAAACCAAAACCAAAACAACCCCGTTCAGAAAACCTCAAAACTGTAGTAGCAATGCCTGTCATCCACTTAGGAGGTATGGGGTGGGAACCAAGCTAAAGACCAGCTTGAGCTCAGGAGACTGACTCAGAGCATAGGACACAGAAGATGGTGATTTGACACCCATATAGTCTCCCATGTTAGGGGAATGTACTAGGGAAAGCCCAAAAGGAAATTCTAATTGAAAAGTAATGCTTTACCCACCCACCCCTTTTGTTGAGACAGGCTAGTGGCAGGTGAATCTCTTTGGGTTAGGGGCCAGCCCAGTCTAGATAGACAGTTCTAGACCAATTAGGGCATGATAATTAAGATGTTGTCTAAAATAATAATAATGTTAGTAGGATCATGTTTGATGCATTTCAGAGCTGCAGGGAAGATTCAACATATGCAAATCAGTAAATATAAGCTGTGTAGTGGTGTCTCATCCCTTTAATCCCAACACTGGGGAGGCAAAGGCAGGCAGAGCTCTGTGAGTTCAAGGTGAGCCTGGTCTACCAGTGAGTTCCAGGATAGCCCTGGGTGTTACCCAGAGAAACCCTGTCTTGAAAAACCAACAAAAAAGAAAACTAATGAACATAATGTGTGATGTGAATGTATGTAAAGATAGAAAGCACATAGAGTCATAGCCATGGATGTGGGAAGGCTTTTGAGAAAATGTTGCATCTCTCCCTACTGTGAATTTGATATTTCTTTTGTGGGTAATGAAATAATTGTGGAATTGGTTATATTACATAATTTAGTGAATATATTTTAAAAGTCCACACTTTAAAAGTATAAATGTTTGGTATATAAAATATATCTTTCAAAGCTTTTATAAATGCTCTTCAAATGTTTAATTTAAAAATGTTGACTGGGTGGGGAGATGGCTCAGCAGTTAAAAGAGTGCTGGCTGCTCTCATAGAGGACACAGGTTTTGTTTCCAACACCCACATTGTTCTTTACACATCTGTAACTTCAGTTCCTGGGTATCCAGTTCCCTCTTCTGTGGGCATTGCACACATGTGGTGTGCATATATACTTGCAGGTAACTCTCTCTTTCTCTCTGTCTCTGCCTGTCTCTCTCATAAATTACAAATTATGTCTTAAAAAATCATTTATTTCAGTGTATGAGTGCTCTATCTGCATATGTGCCTTGATGCCTACAGAGGGCATCAGATTCTAATGTAGATGGTTGTGAGCCATCATGTGGTTGCTAGGAATTCAATTCAGGGCCTGTGGAACAGCAGACAGTGCTCTTAACCTCTATGCCATCTCTCCAGCCCCTAAAAGATAAGTCTTAAAAAAAAAATATGTCATACTTAGTTGGCAGGGGATAAGCCATGATCACAAAGGTGTTTAGCCCAGGGCAAGGCTTATCCATTGCATGTCAGATGTGCTGAACCCTGAGATATCCCCAAAGCTGGAAAACTTGAGTGCATAATTTGTGGTAGTGGGGAACTGTGTTGACACTCTCCCCTGTAGAGAAACTTAAATATTTATTAAAGAAAAATATTCAGACAACCAAAACCTACAAGAATTTAAAACTAGACTCAGAAGAAAGTAAATCCCCATCATCATAGTTTTGTTTGTTTGTTTTTGTTTATTGAGGCAGGGTCTCGCTATACAAGCCTGGATGTCTTGGAATTCAGTATGTAGACCAGCCTGGGTGTGAATTCACAGAGATCTGCCTGTATCTGCCTCCCAAATGCTTAATTAAGGCGTGGGCCACCATACCCAGCTGGAAAGACAGGAAACCTATCCTGTCTTGAGGAGAGGAATTGGTTTTTAAGTAGGGTGTGTTGCAGAGGGTGGAGTTTGGAGAATTTGGAAGCATTATTTTCACATACTGGATGCTTTTTCTTTCTCCTTTGGCCAGCCCATGGAGGATAGTCTGATTGCATTCAGAACTCGGTCTAAGATGCCCCTGAAAGATGTTCCTCTGGGCCAACTAGAAGCTGAGCTTCAGGCTCCAGATATCACCCCGGACATGTATGACCCAAATACAGCTGATGATGAGGACTGGAAGGTGTGGCTGGGGGGCCTCCTAAATGATGACGTGGAGAACGAGGGTGAGTGATTTTGTTTGCAGTTATCAATTGCTCAGTTTTACTCTATCTTTTGGGTGGGAAATATTGTTATAATTTGGAAGCTTTAGTAGTGGGTTTTTGAGTGGACATGTTAGCTCAGATTTGTCATTTCAGCTGTTGAGGAAGTTGAATCTGGTTGGCGCTGTAAGACATGAGGCTATCCTGGGGAACTTAGTGGCTCTTGTCTCAAACCAAAGGAAGAGACTGGAGAGACTAAGCCTATAGAGGTCATTGGGAACAAATGTACTTAGCACTAGAAGGCAGCTGTGTTTCATTTCTAGCCCCAAATCTCAAACGAACAAAATATATAAAACCATGCATTCAAGGCTATATTAAACTGTGCACTGAGAGACTATGTCAAAAGGAAAATATTGGTTTAGGAGAAGAAAGGGTGTGTGACAGGATTAATTAGGGAAATGAGCTGAAGATTTCAGGAAGTGAATAGGTGATAATTTCTTTCTTTAAAGCTGCATCATATGTGCGTGCGTGCAATTGTGTGTGTGTGCGTGTGTGTGTCCATCAGGACATTTACCACATGGGTAAAGAAAACCAGTGATTAGGAGGGATGGTCTCTGGATCAGCTCTGCCATCTGACCTTTCTCACACCTAGCAAATAGGGAGCGATGTTAAATACGGGACTTTATCAGATTTTACCATGTATGGATTTGGAGAGATTGCTCAGCAGTTAAGAGTCCTGACTGGTTTTTGAGAGGATGTGAGTTATGAATCCTAGCACCCACATTATGTGGCTCACAACCATTCATAGCAGTAGTTCCAGTGCAGCCATTGACTCTCTTAATCTCCTGGGGCACTAGACACATGGTATACACATTCACATGAAGGCAAAACACTCATACATCATGTAACAAGAAGTCTTAAAATTTTTTTTTAAATATCCTTTTTTTTAAAGATTTCATTTATTTATTATGTATACAACATTCTGCTTCCATGTATATCTGCACACCAGAAGAAGGCACCAGATTTCATTACAGATGGTTGTGAGCCACCATGTGGTTGCTGGGAATTGAAATCAGGACCTCTGGAAGAGCAGTCGGTGCTCTTAACCTCCGAGCCATCTCTCCAGCCTTTAAAAAAATTTTTTTTGTGTGCCGTGTTAGTCTATTTTTATAATATATGTATTGCCCTTTTTTTTTTTCTCACAAATTCTTTGTACCATCTAACCTGCCTATTCTTAAAAGCCAGAATCTTAAAGCTGGGCAATGGTAGTGCACATCTTTAATCCCTACACTTCGTATGAAGAGGCAGGGATCTCTGAGACCAGACTCCAATCTGGTCTACTGAGCAGGATCCAGCACTGCCAGGGCTACATAGAAAAATCCAGTCTCAAAAACAAATCAAAAGACAACAAAATTAACCTTGTTTTATGTGTGTGCGTGATTTGCCTGAATGTGTGTATGTGTTCCATGTGTATCTGGTGCCCAACTTGGGTCGACATGTAACCGACTTTTCCAGTCCCGACCACCACTTCCCAAATACCCGGCCATTGCTTCCCAAATAATTGATTCAGAGGCTTAATATAAATTATAAATGCTCAGCTGCTCAGACATGTTACTAGCTAATTTTTACACTGAAATTAACCCATATTTCTATTTATGCTTTTACCACATGGCTCATGGCTTGTTACCTTGTTGTTTACATGTACTGCTTGCTCTGTGGCTGGCTGGCTGGAATCTGTCCTCAGACTCTACAAATTCCTTCTCATCATCCTTAGTTTGTTCACACCGCCTATACTTCCTTCCTGGCTACTGGCCAATCAGTGTTTCATGAAACCAATCTTTAAAATGTAGATGATGATTGCCGGTGTTGGTGGTGCACGCCTTTAATCCCAGTACTCGGGAGGCAGAGGCAGGTGGATCTGAGTTCGAGGCCAGCCTGGTCTACAGAGCGAGTACTAGGATAGGCTCCAAAGCTACACAGAGAAACCCTCTCTCAAAAAACCAATAAATAAATAAGTAAATAAATAAATAAATAAATGTACAAGATGATTATTTCACACATTTCTCTTTTTAATATTTTTAAAGTTTTATTTTTTGTATATAACTTTTTTACCTTATATATGTATCAATGTATGTCTGTATATATGTGTTTATGCATGTATGTATGTGCAGCATATGTAATGTGTGCCATGAGCCCCATGGACCCAATTGCCCAGAGCCCGAAATATGGTGTCATGTCATAGCCCTTGGAACTGGACTAGGAAATGGTTGTGAGCCACCATGTGGGCACTGGAAAAAGGCCCTCTGCAGTCAGTGCTCTTAACCACTGAGCCATCTCTTCAGTCCCTCAGTCTCTTTTTGTTCAAGTCACTATTCTTCTTTCAGGAGGATGTTAACAGTGTTTAGGAGGAGCTAACTTATAGCAGGGTCGAGTTGTTGATTTCCTGTTTGGCTGGTAATTGGACATGGCTTCTATCTCAGGTTGTCTGTTGGCTACATTCTGGTTCCTTTAGCTGCTTGGTCTAGGTGCTTTGACCAAATTTGAATTGAACTGGCAGTGTGGACTAGTCTTGGGCCTCAAGGCAATTAAGGCCACCGTCTGACAGCTGGCAGTGCTCTGGTGGTGAGGTGTCCCTGGGTGGGAGTGGTCTTGGATCTGCCTTGTTGGAAAGGGAAGAAGAAGAGAGTCTGGGAGGCAGTGGTAATCCCTGGCAAGCAGGTTCAGAGCTTGGGCAACTTGAGTGAAGGAAGGTCAGAGAAGGGAGCAAAAGTAGCCTACTTGGGTCTCCATTGCCTCACAGGCAGGCTCCCAGGAAATTGGCAGGTTAGAGTCATTTAAGTCTAAGAGTTCATGACCAGTGTGAGTTTTATAATGGTTGCAAACAAAAGGTGTGCATTCCGGGCAGTGGTGGCCCATGCCTTTAATCCCAGTCATCTAGAAGCAGAGGCAGGTGGATCTTTGTGAGTTTGAGGCCAGCCTGGTAATACAGCAAGTTCCAGGCTACATATTAAAACCCCATCTCCAAAACCAAAAAACAAAAGTGCATATATTTTTATTTTTAACAAAACGGGTACACTTATTATGAAAAAATTAGTGTAGGCTATAAAGCAGAGTTCCATTCTTTGTTAAAGTTTTTTTTTTTAATTTTTGTATATGTGTGTATGTGTGCATATGTACATGTGGTTATTCACATAACAACATGGAAGTGACCTCTGGAAGGCCAGCTAGTATTTTTTTTAACAATTGTTTTATTTTTAAGACAATTTTTTCCTTTTAAAACAATTTCTTATTTGGAAGAGTTTATTTATTTTTATTTTATACACATTGGTATTTTGCCTGCATGTACATCTGTGTGAGGGTATAAGACCTTGGAGTTAGACAGTTGTGATCTGCCATGTGGGCGCTGGGGATTGAACCCGGGTCCTTTGGAAGAGCAGCCAGTGCTCTTAACCACTGAGCCATTTATCTAGCCCCGATTTTTTATTTTTAAACCAGTCTGTTGTCCATTGTCCCCCCCTCCCCCCCCACTCGCCGCCCGCCATTTCTCCAGCCCCTCTTTTCTATTTTAATGGATACAACATAGTAAAGAGTATGTTGTTCCCACCAGGTAGTGGTGGCCCTCACCTTTAATCCCAGCACTTGGGAGGCAGAGGCAAGTGGATTTCTATGAGTTTGAGGGCAAACTGGTCTACAGAGCGAGTTCCAGGATAGCCAGGTGTACACAGAGAATCCTTGTCTCAAAAACCTAAAAATGGGGAAAAAGTCATTTATTAATTTTTAAAAATATATATTCTCTCTCTCTCTCTCTCTCTCTCTCTCTCTCTCTCTCTTTCTCCTTTTCTCTCTCTCTTCTTCTTTTTTTTTTTTTTTATTTCTCTATGTGATAGTCCTAGCTGTCCTGGAACTCGTTTTGTAAACCAGGCCTGTACCTCCTGAGTGCTAAGATTAATTGTATTTTGTTTTTCTTCTAGTTTTTCAGCCACACTTTAGGTTTTCAGTAGTAGCATGTATATGATGTGCACACTCTTTTGTACTGGGTGATTATATATGTATGTTACTACTTTTCTCATGCATGTACTGAATATTGGTGTGATACTTTTTGTTCACCTTTTTTCTGTATATATTTTTGTCATGCTATGACATCATAAATATCTATATTGATGTTTTACGAGTTTGTGTGCAGTTGGAATCAAACCCCAGGACTTTGTACTTGTTAAGAAAATGCTGTGGCACTGAACTGCTTCCTCAGCCCCAGATGTCAGTTACAGGTCTGAGTCGGCTCCACAAGAAACCACTGACTACAGCCACTCTCTGTGGAAAGAGACAACAGTTTTAATGAAGAGTAGAGGGCAGGGCCAAAGCTTCTTGTGTTTAGACGTGGGAGGGGACACAGCTCAGTCCCTAGAACAGCCCCGGGCTCAGTCAGACAGAGGAGGTGCTGGCAGTCACTGCCGGGCAGAGTGTTCAATGCTGATTAAGAGCTACTGAGTTGTGCTTAGGTTTCTGTTTCCTAGCAACACCAAACACAGGTAGGACCTGGACCATCCACCCTAAAATATTGCCACCAGCAGCACAATTTGGGAGCCTGCCTTGGGTACCTAACACAGAGTCCTTTCCTAATTGTTGGAAATTTGTCTTCTTCCTTTTTCCACTATAATATCATTGTACAAATAGCCTTTATGCCTGGTGTTGGTGGCGCACGCATTTAATCCCAGTACTTGGGAGGCAGAGGCAGGCGGATCTCTGAGTTCAAGGCCAGCCTGGTCTCCAGAGCAAGTGCCAGTATAGGCTCCAAAGCTACACAGAGAAACCCTGTCTTGAAAAACCAAAAACAACCCCCAACCAACCAACCAACCAAACAAACAAACAAAAAACAAATAGCCTTTACATAAAATGTCTGTTTGAGGCCATTGAGAAGACTCAGGGTAAAGGTGCTTGTTGCAGTCCTGACTACCTGTGTGCCATCTCCAGAACACACATGGTGGAAGGAGAGAACCATCTCTTCTGTAGATTGTCCACAGATCTTGACACGTGTGTGCCACACATACTAAAATTTGCAAAGTAGAAGAAAACAGTTTTTTTCTGAGACTAACTAATCAGAGTGTGACTACTGAAGTCACATGTTTTGCTGCTTGATGACATTGAATGCTGTTTGGAGGAGAGAGGGATCCTGGCTCAGAAGAGAAAGCCAGTAGGACAACAAGTCAGCTATGGAAAGTGATACAAAGTATTGGGGGAAAAATGTTAACCTAAAAGTCAGGGAAGGTGTGGCATTCCTGACAAATGCCTGCAATCTTAACACTTGGGAGGCTATGTAGGAGGATCCTAACCTTGAGGCTAGCCAGGGCTACACAGTAACTTTGAGGCTGGCTTGGGTAACTTAATATGACTCTGTCTCAAAGAACAGAAAGAAAAAAGCCAAGGTCATTGAGATGAGATGGCTCTGTGTAAAGGTGATTGCTGCCAAGCACAATAACCCCAGTTCCATCCTGGGACTCACATGGTGGTAGAAGAGATTTACCTTCTACAAGATGTTCTCTGAGCCCCACATGCAAGCTCTCTTAATCAGCGTTCTACTGCTCTGAAGAGACATCATGACAAAGGCAACTTTCAAAAGAAAGTATTTAGTTGGGATCTTGTTTACAGTTGTAGATGGTGAGTCCATGACCATCATAGTAGAGAATGGTAGTAATCAGGCAGTCATTGCACGGAATTAGTAGCTGAGAGCTTATATCTTATTTGAAAATTGGAGGTAGAGAGACTGGGCCTGGGGTGAACTTTTGAAACCTTAAAGCTTACCCCCAGTGACACACTGGCTCCAATGAGGCCACAGCTCCTCATCTTTGTCCAAAACAGTTGCATCAACTGGGAAGCAAACATTCAAAACATGAGTCCGTGAGTGCCACTCTCTTTCAAACAACCACACATGCCAAGGCTTTCACACACCTGTACACAAACTAGTTCAATGAAATAAAAAAAGAATATGTATGCTTATTGGAAGGTTCTTTAATTTTTTGTTTCTACAGGTAAAGGTTCAAAGCTGAGGTCTGGGCATGGTGATACAGTGGTGCAAGCCCATAATCTTCCAACCTAGGAAGCAGAAGCAGGCAGATCTGTGGGCTTGAGGGCAGTCTGGTCTACTTAGTGAGGCCTGGGTCAACTAGAGATACACAGTGAGACTGTCCCAAAAAGCCAAGGGAAGAGAGAGGCAGGCACATACATACACACAGAGGGAGAGACCCTGTTTGGGGGGAAAAGGTAGAGTTTGAGAAACTGTCTAAAATATTTCCCCTAGATGAAGCAGATGATGATGATGATCCAGAATATAACTTCCTGGAAGATCTCGATGAACCAGACACAGAGGATTTCCGTACTGACCGGGCAGTGAGAATCACTAGTAAGTTAGTTGGTTCACTATTGTCTTTTCCATATGTCTTTGTTTACTCTGTAGACCTTTTGCAAGCTGATGGCTAATTCAAATATAGACAATTAAGTTTATTTCTGTAATTGTTTAAATTTAGTGTATATGTAGAAAGTTGCTATTTACTTGTACAGCTTATAGTCCTATTTTGGCATTTATTATTTGGCAAGGCTGTATTATACATTGAATGCCAAAATGGATGTGGACATGGCCAGAGGCCTTGCAGGCAATGAGTAATAAGGGGATAGAAAGTGATAGGTGCAGTGTAGGTTGCTTGAGGAATGCCAGTTTGTTGAAAGAGGTTGTCCTTCTTTAGAAATCTTAGAAAAGGATTCGGAAGATGAGCCACTTTAGCTACCAAAGCAGGATTAAAAGATTTTCAGTGAAAGGGGACAGAATAGGAAAGGCCTGTTGCAAACAGAAGAGATCTACCAGCTGGAGAGGCAGGTTCAGCTGGAGGAGAGGCAGGGTGGGGCGGGGGTCAGTTCTCTTCCTAACATGTTGGCCCCCAGTATCAAACTCAGATGATTTGGCTTCATGACTGTTAGCTTTACACACTTCAAAATGGAAAACTTTTTTTTTTAATTAAGTTTTTTTTAAAGATTTTATTTATTATGTATACAATGTTCTGCATGCATGGATGCCTGCATGCTGGAAGAGGGCACCAGATCTCATTATAGATGGTTGTGAGCCACCATGTGGTTGCTGGGAATTGAACTCAGGACCTCTGGAAGATCAGCCAGTGCTCTTAACCTCTGAGCCATCTCTCTAGCCCTGAAAATGGGAACGTTTTAATTTACTTGTTTTATTAGCTAGCTCTCCAAGTCTATGTTTGTTCATCTTGTTTTGCTTTTGAGACAGAATCTCATTGTCTAGCCATAGTTTGCTGCTGACTTAAGTAACTCGTGTGGTATTGACTCTGAACCGCTATGTTACAACACTGTCCTGAGAACTGCTTTTATTATAAAATGATTGATCATTTTCTATGTATATTTCCACTAGAATTTAAACTTGATGGAAATAAACTTTTTTTTTTTCTTTTATGTATCCCAAGCATCTTGAGCAGGAATTGAAGCACGGTTGGTGCTTCATAACTGTCTTTGAGTTACTGCTTGAAGAACGGATATGAGCATTTGTTCAGATGCCTTGGGAGAAACATACATCATCTCCATAGATGTCTTCCTTACTGCAAAATGTAATTTAGTTCCACTAACATCCTTCTTTGCCTTTTCACAGAAAAAGAAGTGAATGGGCTGATGGAAGAGCTATTTGAAACTGTGAGTAATGATTTTGAGTGAGTAGCTTTGTGAAATTCCTTAGTAAGCTCTGTCCTTTGCTCTTAGCGATTTTCTCTCCAGCAGAATTGTCTGGCTGTGCCAAGACTACAATGGCCAGGGAATTCTGAGTAATAGACTCTGGATTATCCACATGTAGTTAACCCTTGATTATCCTCAGCTATTGCTAGCAGCCTATCGGTGCAGACTGTCATTTGGGCAGTGATCATAGAGACATGGTTTTCATAAAATTGTCTCTTGATTTTAGGTTAGACTGGAGTGGGTGGTTCCAGAGGGGAGTAGCGGGTAAATCTGTCTGTCTAAAGGTATTTGAGGTGTGTGAGGAAGCTGGAGAGATGGCTCAGTGTTAAAGCGCACCTGCTGCTTTTCCAGAGGATCCAGTGTCCAGTTGTTTACAGCTACCTGTGATCCTAGCTTCAGAGGATCAGACACCCTCATCTGGCCTTCTTGGATACTCCACTGCACCTCTCTCTCTCTCTCTCTCTCTCTCTCTCTCTCCCCCTCGCCCTCTCGCCCTCTCGCTCCCCCTCTGCCCCCCACCCTCACTCCACACACACACACACACACACACACACACACCCCGAGTCTGGCTACTGTGGAGATGGCTGTGTTGGTTATGTGCTTGCCATACAATCATGAGGAACTGAGTTCATATTTCAGAACCCACATAAAAGTCTGTGTTCTGGTGTGTGCCTGTAATCCCAGCTGTGGTGTGCACAGAGAAGTAGTTCCCTGGAGCTCATGAGAGATCAGATTTAAGACGTGATTTAGGAGTGGGCTGGGTGGAGGGGTGGCTGTGAAGGTGGAGCTACACATCCTGAGCTGCAGAGTCAGCTTGATGGTCCATGCCATTGGTCCGTGGCAGGCAGAGTAGGGTACTAAGCATCAGGGTGGCGCATGGCTCTGGCCACAGCTTCAGCAGTGTTTGTGATGGCCTTGGCCCCAATCAAGGAGGGAGATGGCAGCCCCTCAGTGGAGGTGTTTGAAGGGCAGTCCAGGAAGAGGGTAAAGGACAAGAAAGGTGGGTTGTTTGGAGTTACTGGTATGTTTAGTCCTATGTGTTCTAAGACCCACCTGGGCTGTTTTTGTGGAGCGATGAGGGGCTCTGAGGGCCAAGAGAGTGTATGTGGTGGCATGTCTGAATGTTAGAGATGTCTGTGATGGAAGAGTGGGGTTGAGCCCACAAGGTAAGGCTTGTCTCTTGGCTGACACAATGGGGACTTTGGGAAGGAGACAGATTTGTTACAGGATGATTCTTTGATGTCTCTTGTTGGGAATCATGGGCTGTAGAAGTTCTCTGTGGTGATAGACAATGGCATAGTAAAGATATTACAGCCTGGCTTCCAGAACTTTTCACAACTCTGAGGCTGTGCCAGATGAAAGTCCTCTGTCCCTCCCATCTTCCACACCTGGCTCTGAGCTGAGGGGCCCAGTATCTCCTTACCTGGGTCACTTAACTACAACCTTGACCATATTTCTTTAATAAAGAGTATGGTTTGTATCAGAAAAGAAAAGAAAGGGATGGAAATAAAGGAAAGACAGCAATTGAGGAAGATAGCCTACCTCACACTGTGATCTCTCCATTCCCATAACACTCATATTCATACATATGTCACACACTAAGGTATTTCTGTGGAAGAGAATGAGTTTTGAGTTATCTGTTCTCTCTCAGTTTAAAAGTTGACCAGTTGAAAGACTTTTTTTTCTTTTTTAAGATTTTACTTATTCATTATGTATACAACATTCTGCTTCCATGTATATCTGCACACCAGAAGAGGCCACCGTATCTCATAACGGATGGTTGTGAGACACCATGTGGTTTCTGGGAATTGAACTGAGGACCTCTGAAAGAGCAGTCAGTGCTCTTAACCTGTGATCCGTCTCTCCATCTCGAAAGACCTTTTTTTTAGTATTTTTGTCATTGCTAGTATGGGGCTTTGAGACCCCTGAAGTGAGATTAGCTCCATTTTAGCTCTGATTTTTTTTTTTTTTACAAAAATACCAATTTTATTTTAATTATTTTTTAATTTTTGAGATTATAATAAAATTACTTCATATTACTCTTTCTTTCCTCTCTTTAAACCTTCCCAAAGACCCCTCTTTGTTCTCTTGCAAATTCATGTCTTCTGTTTTCATTAATTGTTATTATGTGGGCATGTATGTATGTATGTATGTATGTATATATGTATGTATGTTCCTAAATACATAAGTACAACCTGTTCTGTCTTTGTAATATTACTTGTGGGTATGTTTTTAAGGCTGACCATGTGGTATTAGATAACCAATTGGTGTTCTCTTCTCTGGGCAAGACTATTTCTCCCAGTCCCAGCAATCCTTAATTGTCTGTGGTTCTTTGTGTAGGGTTGAGATCTCATGGGCTTTCCCCTGTCCAGCTAGCATGTCTGTTGTCCTTGTGCAGCTCATATTTAGTCAGTCATGTTGGTGAGACTTTATTGGTGCAACTTGTGACATTCCTAGGAGACATTGCCTTGTTGCCACACTCCCTGTTCCTCTGGCTCTCACAGTCTTTCTGCTTTTCTTCCATAGTGTTCCATGAGGCTTAGGTGCAGGAGTGTTTGTAGATGTACCCTTTGTGACTGGGCTTCACAACTCTTCATTATGAGAACAGTGGGAAATATTCCTATGTGAATCAGTGTTTCCCTTCATGTCTGTACATCTCATGCCTGATGCCTATGATGGTCAGAAGAAGGCATTGGATTCCCTGGACTGGAGTTACAGGTGGTTTGTGCTGCCATGTTGGTGCTGGGAATTGAATCTGGGTCCTATGTAAGAACAAGTGTTTTTTGGTGTTTGTTTTTGTTTGTCGAGTCTGGGTTTCTCTGTGTATGTAGCTTTGGAGCCTATCCTGGCACTTGGCTCTCTAGACCAGTCTGGCCTCGAACTCATAGAGATCTGCCTGCCTCTACCTCCCTAGTGCTGGGATTAAAGGCGTGTGCCACCAGTGCCTGGCTTGATAGAACAAGTGTTCTTAACTCCTGAGCCAACTCCCGCAGAGGGTCTCTTTTGAAACCCAACATTACTAAAGTTCTTGAATTCTCTAGTTTTACTGATACTTATTACCGCTAGTGTGGCTTACAAAGGGACCATTTTCTCAAGAAAACCCTCCTTTTCTTCTGCCCACAGTTCCAAGATGAAATGGGATTCTCCAATATGGAAGAAGATGGCCCAGAGGAAGAGGAGCGTGTATCAGAGTCTCGGCCTAACTTCAACACCCCTCAAACCCTGCGGTATGCTATGCTGGCTGAGATGTAGCATGAAGGGATACTGTGTTTATGAAGAGGCTTGATATTTTTGGCTTTTTTGTTTGTTTGTTCTTTAAGAAATTACTTTTAATCTTCCTCAGCCTCTTTCTTGTTTAGGGTGAGGAGTCCTGGATGTGAGTTAGTTAACAAGCCAACAAACAAAAATGGTCTCCTTGTTATGGGACAGCACAGTTATAGAAAAAGCTGTGTCTGTTTGGGAAGGGAGAAATATCAAAGCTGGCACTGAGAGCAGCCTTTCCATGCGAGTGGTGCTGGAGAGGTACAGAGCTTCACAAGGCCAGCCACAGGACACCCTCCACTGTGGTGTCTCGATGTCACTTGGGGATTGTTGAGCAAAACATAAGTGCCTGCTCTGATGGGGCAGTAGGCAGAAACGTGCCTTTTTCTGTAATGTTACTTATAAGTGATTACTTCCTGCTTAAAGTGGGGCATTGTTGTTGGGGACCGAAGAATGTTTGCATGCTGTCCAGGCTGTATAGGATCTTCTGGAGTTAGGGGAGTACAGCCCTAGTCGTAGCATTTGGTGAGCCTATACTGCTTTGGACAAGATACTTAGGAAAGGTCTTGGATAGCAGATTCTGGCCAGGTGCTTGTGCAGTCATGGTTTATTTGTATCAGTTGGTACAGATACACTCGGGAGAGAAGGTTAAGTTAAGGGTTTAAGGGAAAATTTTTGTACAAGGTGTTCATTTGAAACTTCTAAGCCCACAGTGTTAGTCATTGGGGTAGGAGAGGACTAAGACCAGGGGAGAAAGATCCTATTCTCAAGACTAGATAGATTGGGAAACTTATGTTGTTGTTTTACAGCACTTATCTGGAGTCCAATTGGCCTATGAAAATTGGATTCAAGTAAATTCCCTGAACTGTAGAAGAACATTTAACTTTACAGAATGAGATGAAAGTTTCAGATATTAGCATTACCACTTCTTGTAACATATAGTGAAATCCACATTGCAGAAAAGGCAGGAGACTCATGCATTTGAGTCACAGTAGATGCTTGGGACGCAAAACTGTTTCTGGGTTAAAAGCATCAACACTCTTCCCAGAGGATTGGATATATAAACTGGACAGAGAGATGTTTTTAGGACAGTGGGAAGCACTTTTATGTCTTTATTTAGAAGAGAAGCAGAGGGAATTAAAATATTTTTAAATAATTTATTTATTCTTACTTTATGTCCATTGGTGTTTTGCTGCATGTATGTCTGTGTGAGAGTCAGAATTTAACATTACAGGCAGCTATGAGCTGCCATGTCAGTGCTGGGAATTGAACCCAGATCCTCTGGAAGAGCAGTCAGTGCTCTTAACTGCTGAGCCATCTCTCCAGTCCTATGGGTATTTTAAATTTTATACTTGTGACTATGATAATAGTAGCAGTGCTTTACCAGGCCCTAGACTAACAGTGTATCAGAACTCCATTGATTAATGTTAAAACTCTGAACTTTTGAAATCTTAATATAATATTAGCACAGAGGGAAAGAATTCTGAAGCAGTTTTCATTTTTTCAATGTGCCTTAAATCACTTTCTTAGACCTTTACAGCTTGTATTTACATACCTTAAAATACTTTCTTAGACCTTTAGAATTTTTAGAGACCAAATAAATGCCGGAAAGTGAAGCTTGAGTCCAGCTGTGTATATGTGAAGAGAACTGAGAAGGCAGTAGAAGGCTTGGAGGAGGAGTTGGTATGCTTGCTGCTCTTAAACTGACAAAGCTATCATTATCCCAATTGTCAATGCCATCTGAGATCTGAGAAGGATAAATTTCACTGGAGTAAAAGCAGGCAATATAGATCTGGTAGCTACTGAATCTAATTAAACAATGACAGAGACTTACAGGCTTCCTGAATATTCACTCTAGGTTCCTCCATGGTAATCTTGATTTCACTGGGGCAGAGGTCCCAGGGCAGTATCATTCTTAGGCCTTCAGGCCCAGAAGATCAGCAGACTTTAGGTCACTGTGACACAGTCATAGCTTGACTGGTTATTGTTTCTGTCTACAACACTCTCCTGAAAAAGCAAACAAAAGTGTGTGTGTGTCGGGGGGAGGTTGATTTCCCTCCAGAACCAAGGCAATAGCAGCTGTCCTCTATCATAGGGTTGCTTGCATGTCTTCACAAATAAGCTTGCCTCTTTGTTGAATTGTAACTAAAAAGAAAGACAAATGAGTTTTCCTTTTCCTGCCTTTTTAAAAAATTTAATTTAATTATTTTGGTGGGTGTTTTGTGTGCATATATGGCAGAGCATCACATGCGTGCAGTGACCCGGAGGCCAGAAGGTGGCATTGGATGCTTGGAATTGAACTTGTAGATGGTTGTGAGCCACTGTGTAGGTGCTGGGAATCGACCTGAGTCTTTTGTATGAACCACTGTGCCATGTTTCCAGCACTCTCCTTTTTTTTTTTTTTATTCGTTTTTCAAGACAGGGTTTCTTTATGTAGCTCTGGCTGTCCTGGAACTCACTCTGTAGACCATGTGGGCCTGGAACTCACAGAGATCACCCTATTTGGCCTCCCAAGTGCTGGGATTAAAGGCGTGCGCCACCAATGCCCGGCCTCCCCTCCTTTTCTTGTTTTCTATCTCTTGATGGTGGCCCAAAACCTAAGTATGGCTCTGCTGATGCTCTGGACCTTTCCGTGTTCTGTATCCACTTACCCACACCTGTTCAACTGCTTGTTAACATCAACAAAAGCTTCTTACAGAGAGTAGGGGTTGTCTCTGAAGGCCACCACCATCCAATCATCAGTTGAGCAGCAAAGGGAGTACTGAAGCAAATTTTTAGAGAAGTGCTTGTCTATGTCAGTCTGTTAGGGAATAATATTGCCTCTGTTGCTTCAGATCATGCCTTTGTTTCCAAGAGAAATGATAAATTAAATTGTTCAGTTTCTCTGCTAGCATACACTCAAGCCCGATCCTTTCATCTGCCCCTATGCTTCACAATTTCAAGAGGCAGTCTGAGAAACTTTTTTACTAAGTCTTTCCTGGGGCTGGAGAGATGGCTCACTGGTTGGGAGCACTGGCTGTTCTTCCAGAGGATCCAGGTTCAGTGCCCAGGACTCACTTGGTGCTTCACAACTGTCTATAACTTGAGTTCCAGGCATCTGATGCACCCCCCACCCCCCGCCTGCCTCCTCATGCATGCCACCCTTGTATTCTGTGACAGACATCACATGGAAAGATGTAGCACTCAACACATAGGTCTAATCACCCCCTTAGGGAGGCCAGGCCAGACCAAGCACAGATATGACCAGGATCGTCCATCTTTGTGAAAGAGTGGGTTTTATTGGGGTTAATTACAGAAGCAGAATTGATTCAAAGACAACTGCATCACGCAAAACTCACCCCATTGTAGGTGACCACTCCCCAAATCTGCACACCTGGAGCACACTGCAGGAAGCTCAACAGTTTCTAGTGTTCTTCCGGTAGGCTCAGTTGGTCTAACCTTATCCCGGGTTGCTGTCTTCCAGGTTTCTGCTTCTCTTGGGATGCTTGGATGATGTGCTTCTTGTTGGCAGCTTGACTTGTGGGAGTGAGGTGCTCAGCAGTCTTTATTGTTTACTCTTAGGAAGGAAGGGCCTGGTGAAACTGGTCAGTTCAGGGACGTCCTGAAGCCATTTATTTATTTCTGTTCTCTAGGGGTTCCCTGCAAAGATGGGATGTTTCAATCTTGTAGAAAATGGGTATGCAACATTGTGGTACACAGACATAAGTGCCGGCAAAACATTAATACACATGAAATAAAAATAATTAAGTCTGATCTCTGTGAGTTTGAGGCCAGATGTTCTAGGCGTGTGATGCAGGACAACACAGTTATGCTCAGGCAACACAGAAAGGAGTTAGAATGATAAAAGAAGATAATTTGCATTGATGTAGTATATGCTTAAACTAACAGCTCTTCTTCATTGAACCTGCCTTGGAGTTTAGCATATTTCTTTTGTGTTACATTGTAGAAAGGCTTTGCCAGGCTTTTGTGTTTTGGTTTTTGGTGCTAGGAAATAAACCCAGAACTCACATTACAAGAGAAGCATTCTCTATACCAGTGGAGGTGTCTCCTCCCCCTGGGCTTTCACTTTTCCTAAGTGAATGAAGGGTAGCTAGAATGGAAAGGGCTGGAGTTGCAGATAAATGAGAGACTAAATGGTGTACTTTTAAGAGGTTTTCTGTCACTGTTGCTGAGAAATCTTCTTTGACATTGCTGGAGCTTGAACCCAGGGCATCAAGCATTCTAGGCATGAATTATTTCATTTGATTATATTCCTAACAGTCTGAGGAAATTATTTGGTTAAGGAGCATGAATAGTTGTTATACTGAGATTTAAAAAAATCTTAGGCTCAGTGCTAAGAGCACTAGGTGCTCTTCAAGAGGACCCAGGTTCAATTCCCAGCAACCACATGGCATCTGACAATTGTCTATAGCTCCTGTTCCAGACGATCTAACACCCTGACACAGACATAGAAGCAGGCAAAACACCAGTGCACATAAAATTAAAAAAGTATATATCTTAAAAAATAAAATTTATTTTTATAAAAAGTAAATGGACATTGTTGAGGCTTGGTTAATACATGATTACAAGGAATTTGATGTGTTCTGGACTAGGAAATATACACATTTTTTCCTTGTTGGAAATAGGTTTGAGGAACCATTGGCCAACTTACTGAATGAACGGCATCGGACAGTGAAAGAGCTGCTTGAACAGCTGAAAATGAAAAAATCTGCATGCAAATCCCAGCCTGAAGTGGAGAGGCTTAAACTTCAGAAGGAGATAGTCCTCCAGACCCTGATTCTAGACCCAGCACAGAGGAGCAGGCTTCAGCAGCAGATGCAGCAGGCAAGAGTCTTCTCTTTGTCTTGTAATTGTATCATCTCCCAGCTGAACACGGAAGCCAAAGTGAGAGTATTGCAAAGTCAGAGATGGCTGTCCTGCTTTGCATTGAAACCACGGGCCACAGGACCTCCAGTCCACTAAAACCTTGAGAGAACAGCATGTTCCTGGCCTGTGGCTCAGGCAGGAAAGCAAATAAAGACCTGATAAAGTGCAGGATCTGGGAATTCAGAGTTCTAGGTAATGCATTCAAACTTGGGGAACGGTCAGGATTAGTTTTTCTCTTTCAGTCTTAGTCTCTCTAGTTTGAGGTTCAAGTTTGTCTGAGTTTGTGGTCTTGTTCAAAGGAACATATCTCAGAAACTCATGCCAAGATCCTGCTTTGCTCTAGTCCCTCTGGAAGCAAGATATGTTTGATACATCTGCAGAGCTCTTGGTAAGATCTGTGTTTCTGAAACAGCAACATTTTAACATGTCAGTTTTCTTTCCTTCCCAGCATGTTCAGCTCTTGACACAAGTCTACCTTCTCACCACCTCCAACCCCAATCTGAGCTCCGAGGCCAGCACCACCAGAGTATTTCTGGTAAGATTCCATGCATCCGTAACTCCGAAGACTTAAGTTTGACATTGGCTTGACAAGTGGTTTCTCACTGTTAATGTTATTCACTGATTATAATCTATATTTCATCTTCTCTACTGGATGTGTTTGGTCACTGTACCTGCTTGTCCTGTGGCTTCCCCTGTTTTCTTGTTCTTGGTAGAACCCTGAGTCTCGGGAAATATTTTCAATGTCATCTTCACCACATCCTCCTCATCTTGGGATCCTTTTTGTCTTTCCTGTTTTGAGAGAGGGTCTCATGTAGTCCAAGCTGGCCTCAGAGTCACTATGTAGTTGACCTTGTACTTCTGATCGTCCTTCCTCTACCTGACAAGAGTCCCAGTACACTGCAGACGTACACTACAGTGCCCAGTTTATGGGGTGCTGTGGATGTAACCCAGGGCTTCCTGCATGTTAGGCAAGCACTCTATTAAGGATGTTGAGTTTGTGATCTGTTTATTATGCTCAGCTTTAATGTTTAGTATAGAATTAATTCTGCTTATGTTATTTTAAGTGTTTTGAAAGATTTATGGACTTTAATGGGTCTTCCCTCATTCCCATTCCCTCTTTCACCCCTCCCCACTTTTCTTTCTTGAAGAGTTAATAGTAGATCTGTGAAGGGAGGTAAGGAAAACTCTCCTGGGAGGGGCTCTCTAGGGTATGTGCACCCTGGAGAAAGCGCTTTTGTGGTTCCATGATGTGTTTGCTAATATGCCCAGCTGCTTTGTGGTAAAGAGTCTGTTTACTTGTTACTGTATTCAGATGATGACGAGAAAGTTTTCATTTGATGCATTACTCAGAAAATTTTTTTTTGTTTTTTTTGAGACAGGGTTTTTCTGTGGTTTTTTTTTTTTTTTTTTTTTTTGTTTTAGATTTCTGGGCAGCAAACTTTATAATCCTAAATGAGATCTGGTTGGAATGTTACAAAAATGAGTGCTTTATTTTTATGTCTCAAGTTCTTAGACTTAAAATATTATCACATTTTACCATTTTCATTCATTAGTACTAGATTTATTTACTAAACACGATTTTTCTGGTTTTGTTTTGTTTTGTTTTGAAAACAGGGTTTCTCTGTGTAGCTTTTGAATCTGTCCTGGAACTCATAGAGATCCTCCGGTCTCTTCCTCCTGAGTGTTGGATTTAAGGCGTGTGCCACCAATACCAACATTTCTCTAAAAACAGGAGGAAGGGGTGGTAGTTCCCTTTATTTCTAGTACTTTGGTGAATGAGAATGGAGGATCATGAGTTCAAGGCTGTGCTGGGCTACAGAGTGAGACTCAAAAAACAAAACAAAACAAAACAAAACAAGTGTGTGTGTGTGCCTGTAATCTCCCTTTTCCTTCCCCCGTGCTGAGGTTCAAATCCGGGGCTTTGAGCATACTTCTCAGCAGCTCTTCTGCTGAGTCCTGCTTCTATCTCAAAAAAAAAAAAAAAAACCAGTGTGTGTGTGTGTGTGCCTGTAATCTTCCCCCTTCCCTCTCCCCCAGTGCTGAAGTTCAAATCTGGGGCTTTGAGCATACTTCTCAGCAGCTCTTCTGCTGAGTCCTGCTTCTAGATAGCATGCATCTGCAAGACTGCGGAATGCTCAGTGCCAGACTTCAAAGAAAAGTATGACAAATGAATGTAGGTCTAGTCCCTGAATGGCTGAGGACAAAGACAGAGAAGTCATAGTGGAACCATATCAGTTAAGAGAGATTTTTACTGCCTCTAGTCCTATACCGGCAAGAGCCCTGACCCCTTCAGAGACTGAGGGCTGTGGTATTAGTTTTCTGGAATCCTCTCAGACCTTTGTGTCCTTTCTTGTCAGAAAGAGCTGGGAACCTTTGCAGAGAACTCCATCGCCCTTCACCAACAGTTCAACCCCAACTTTCAGACTTTGTTCCAACCCTGTAACTGGATGGGAGCTATGCAGCTCATTGAAGACTTCACACATGTCAGTGTTGACTGCAGTCCTCAGAAAACCGCCAAGAAGACTGGTAGGAGACACAGCGAGAGATGAGATTCTTTCATAATTTTTTATGTACAATTCTTAGGGTTGGAGTTTTTCCAGGAAGGGTTTTCTGTGTCTCTTTAGAGTCTGTCCTCAAACTCACTCTGTAGACCAGGCTGGCCTAAAATTCACAGAGATCTGTCTGCCTCTGCCTCCCAGTTCTGGGATTAAATGTTTGGGCTACCACTACCCAGTGCAGTTAGTGTTCTTACCCAGTGAGCCATCTCCCTGTCCCTTGTTTAAATTCTTACCCAGATTCATTAAGATCAGATTGTTATGTCTAGAAATGCAGCTCAGTGGTAAAGTACTACCTACCACGTGTGACAAACGTTTAATGTTGATTTCTAAGTTGGGGCATGACACCGGGAATCAACATTTCATTTGAAGTGGAAATGTCACTTATACTTTCTGTGTGTTTGTAAATCATATTTACAACATATTACAACACAGGGTTGGGGGAGAGAGATAGAGAGATATAGTACCATAATGCACATGACAGCTGTGGGTCCCAGGTGTTGAATTCAGGTCATCAGTCCCAGTTGCAATTTTCTGCACTGTTTCTTCTCACTGTCATCTAGAATACCAGATTTGTAAAACAGAACAAACAAAGTATAATTTTTATCTTGGAGGAACAAGAATCTTGCTGAAAGTTCTTTGTGTTGTAAAGAATGTTTACAGAAAGAAGGGTTGAAAAGATGTCTGGGGATAACAGTACCTGTAGGCACTGTTAGGTGCCTTATGTTCCTGTCATTAGAGGATGAAGTGTTCCACACATGGAAGGACAAGGGAATCAGCTTGATTTCTCTCCTGTTAGGAATATGTTAGGTTGAACAACTGGAAAGGAGAAGGGTTTAGGTCAGAGGAGGAGATCTCTGCTTGAATGTAAAAGGATTTATATGCTTTTGTGAAGCTCTTTGTCCTTGAATTATATTGTCACAGATTTTTTTTTTCTTCTAGCCAGTGAATTTCCCTGTTTGCCAAAGCAAGTGGCTTGGATCCTGGCCACAAACAAGGTCTTCATGTATCCAGAACTCCTTCCAATATGTTCACTGAAGGCCAATAATCCTCGGGATAAGATCGTCTTCACCAAGGCTGAGGACAAGTAAGTTTACTGTGAGGATGGAAAGAATACATTAGCCAAAGACAGAGACAGTTCCTTTTGAAAGCATAGGTGAAATCAGATGTGTATAACAAACACTCAGATCAAAGAAAAGCCTTGTAGATGGACAGTTTCAGCCGTGTCTTTTGCAGGGGATGCCACACTTGTGGTTAAAACTTTTTTTTTTTATTTCATTTGTCTGCTTGTCTGTCTGTGCACCAAGTACCTAACATGCCCACAGAGGCCAGCTGAGGGTGTTGGATCCCCTGGAACTGGAGCTCTGTACTGTTGTGAGTCCCCATGTGGGTGCTGTTATCTGACTCTGGGTCCTCTGGAAGACTAGGCTGTGCTCCTAAGCGCTGAGCCCTCTGTCCATCCCTGCCACACGGGTTTTTGAAGCATTTCAAAGCATTGTTTAATCTTTTGTTTCTTGGAGAGCCAATCTTGTAGTAGTACTGAAAGCAAATCTCCAAAGCAGAAAGTTTCTAACCTATTGTCCTCCTGCCCAAAGACAGTGGTTCTTGTTTGATTTACCCTTTGGCCTTTTAGTTTGTGATCCTCCTCCTACCTCCTGAGAGGTAGAAATGTAGGTGTGAGCCGTTAGCCTGGTTTATGTGGCACTGGGTGTTAAACCCAGGGCTTTGTGTATGCTAGGCACTGTGACGGACTGCCTCAGCCCTCGTGGGATTCTGATAGAGCTCCGTAATTTAAGGAATTTTGTAATTAGCTTTTTGGAAAGCACAAGGACTTGCTAGTGTGTGGTGGCCCGTGCCTTTAATCCTAGACCTTGGGAGGCAGAGGCAGGTGGATCTATGAGTTCCAGGTCAGCCTGGTCTATAGCTCAAGATTTAGGTTATCCAGGGCTACACAGAGAAACCCTGTCTGGTAAAACAAACCAACAATCAAAAGAAAAGACAAGGACTTCAAATTGTCATTTTATTCTTTGAGTTATTATTTATTGTTCTCTGAGGCAGGCCCTCCTGTATCAATATTGTACTTGAAAAGACCATGTTACTGAGGATGACCTTGAACTTTGAACCTTCTTGCCTCTAAGTTCTAAGAGCAGGTTTCCTTTTTGGGGTCTCTCTTTTTGTTTGTTTGAGGGGAGTACTGTGGTTTTGCTGTTTTATTTGGGGCGGGTGGAGGGGTGATGCCAAGTGTTATTGTATAGCCTCGGTAAGCCTCCAGCTTAGAGCACTGCTCCTGCCTCAGCCTCTGAACAGGGTTGAGATTGCAAGAGTGTGTCACCATGCCTGGAACAGCTCACTCTGTGACATGTTTTTGTTGTTATTTTTGAAATGGGGCCAGTCTCTTTTGTGCCTGGCCAGTGCCCTGATTATGTTATCCTTGAAACCAGAGTATGGGGCACTGGAGTTCAGTCCTTTGGCCTCCCATATGGTAGGCAAGCACTGTAACCAGTGAGTTACATTTCAGCCCTTGTTTTCTTGATACAGGGTTGCCATGAACCCAGGTTGATCTTGAACATGGCATCTCCTGCTTCAGCTTCCTGGGTGTTGAGAGTGTGCCACTGGCTGTTTCTGTTCTTCTGTGTTTTTATCACAAGGTTTCCCCAAGGATGTTTATGCAAAGAACTTTAAAGAAATTTTATTTTAACAGTGCTCTGGGATTAATCCAGGGTGTTCCCTCAGATGCCACTGAGCCCTTCATGTTTGGTTCTTAAAATACTGAGTACACGGTAAGTATCTGAAGGTGTAGAAAGTGTTTGTGAAGCAAGAGCAGTTTGGAGAGCTCTTTTGAAGAAAGGTCTGTGAAGTTAGGTTGTATCATTGCTTCTCTCTCAGTCTGTTAGCTTTAGGACTGAAGCACTTCGAAGGCACTGAGTTTCCTAAACCTCTAATCAGCAAGTACCTTGTAACTTGTAAGACCGCTCACCAGCTGACGGTGAGAATCAAGAACCTCAACCAGAACAGAGCTCCTAACAACGTGATTAAAGTGAGTGTTTGCGTTTGCTCAAGCTCCCCTGTGCCTCCTGCAGAGGAGCACCTAGCCCTTTCTCCTCCTCCTCTCAGCTGTCAGTGAAGGCAGGGAAGTCCCTCCAAAAGAAGGCTGGTTTAAAGGATAATTCCTCCCACTGTGTTAGATTAGTCTGCCCTTTCCTTTGTAAGGCAGTGATCCGTTAATTTGCTCTGGAGTACCTTCACCTAGCCTCTCTCATGAAATAACTCATGTCAAAGGATTCCACAAGTCCTCCATGCTTCTCCCAGTACTGCATTGTAAACTGTCTCCAGTGTGTTGCTTTCTTCTTTGGTTTTTAAAGATTTGCTTTGCTTTTTAATTAAGCATGTGTCGTGCGTGGGTTTGTGCAAATGTGTGCAGTGGCCCAGATCCCCTAAACCTGCAGTCATGTGTAGTTAGGTGTTAGGCACTTGACATGGGTGCATGTGTGCTTCCAACTGAACCGGGGTCCTCTATAAGAGCAGGCCCTGGCCTTAACCAGTGAGCCACCTCTCCAGCTTCTAGTGCTGCTTTTCATTTAGACATTTACGTCAGCGTCATGCAGATTATACTTCAGGAGTGAGGTAAGCTAGGTGTGCTGTTGTAGCACTGGCCACTGCACCCAGGGGACAGAGACTCTAGAATTGCTGTGAGTTTGGGAATATCCAGAGCTCCATAACCATATCCTAGTTAAAAAGTGAGAGAGAAAAAGAGGTTAAGTAGTTGAAAGAGTGACATTTTTATGATGGTTTTCTTATGAAAGTGTTTCATCCTTTTTCCTTGTAATGTATTTTTTTGGGAGGTGGTGTGCTTGTCACCTCTTGAAATAGGAGGTTTACAAATGACTTCTTGGGGCTTTGCCTTTAGATCTGATTTGTTACCCTCAGTCATGAATCCCTCCCTCCCTCCCTCCCTTCCTCTCTTCCTCCCTTACTTTCCCTACTTCTCTGTCCCCCTCCTTCCTTCCCTTCTTCTCTTCCTTCCTCCTTGAGTGGTAAAGGTCGAGGAATGACTAAAGCACATCCTCAGCTCACCTTACCCACACATTGACTTCAATTTTCTTTTGTTTGTCTGTGTTTTGAAGATGTCATTTCATATGTGTATTTGTGTGTGCCTGATCATATGTGCACCATATGTTGTTTGGTGCACATATGCTCCAAACATTCACCAGTTGTTTTTTTGAGATGGGATCACTCTGGGTAGCCGGTTCGCTCGGTGTAACTCTGGCTGTCTTTGAGCTTGGTGGGTAGAGCAGACTGTCCTTGAACTCACTGAGATTCCTCTGCCTCTGCCTCCCAAGTGCAGGGATTAAATGTGTGTTCCACCACCTCTAGCCCATTTACTTTGGAAATGGAAAGTTTTGCTTTCACTCCTCCTTCTCCTCCTCCTTCTCCTCCTTCTCCTCCTCCTCCTCCTCCTGCTCCTTCTTCTCCTCCTTCTTCTTCTTCTTCCTCTGCCTCTCCCCCTGGGATTACAGCTCCTCATCATAGTGTTCAGTTACAGTATCTTTTCCACTTAACCCTGTTACTTGCTTACAAGTAGCCTCTGTGTGTGAGATGAGGGTGAAGCTCTGTGTCTGAGAAGAGGGTGAGGCCATTTGTGACAGGAGAGTTGAGCTCTTTGTGCAGAATGAATGGTTTACTAAGATCACTTCCTTCCTTTCTTTCTGATCTAAGCTTCCAAGTTTCCCTCCACTTAAACCCGGGGAAAATGGCAACCTGGCCAGCTCAATCAGAAGTCCCTCCAGGCAACAGAGTAGTTCAGATTCCTCATCTTATCCAGCCAACCCCTGTCTTACAGACACTTCAAGGTTTCCCTCCAGTGGGGGTCAGCAGAGAAGATTGTATTGAGTCTCCTGCAGCAGCACTGCCAGCTATGCCTTCTGGTCCTGAAGCCAGGACCAGCTTCCCCTTGTCTGAGTCTCAGTCACTACTACCTTCTTCCTCTGCACCTAAGATAATGCTACCCTCACTCGCTCCTTCTTCATTTGTCTGCTTGTCTGTCTGTGCACCAAGTACCTAACATGCCCACAGAGGCCAGCTGAGGGTGTTGGATCCCCTGGAACTGGAGCTCTGTACTGTTGTGAGTCCCCATGTGGGTGCTGTTATCTGACTCTGGGTCCTCTGGAAGACTAGGCTGTGCTCCTAAGCGCTGAGCCCTCTGTCCATCCCTGCCACACGGGTTTTTGAAGCATTTCAAAGCATTGTTTAATCTTTTGTTTCTTGGAGAGCCAATCTTGTAGTAGTACTGAAAGCAAATCTCCAAAGCAGAAAGTTTCTAACCTATTGTCCTCCTGCCCAAAGACAGTGGTTCTTGTTTGATTTACCCTTTGGCCTTTTAGTTTGTGATCCTCCTCCTACCTCCTGAGAGGTAGAAATGTAGGTGTGAGCCGTTAGCCTGGTTTATGTGGCACTGGGTGTTAAACCCAGGGCTTTGTGTATGCTAGGCACTGTGACGGACTGCCTCAGCCCTCGTGGGATTCTGATAGAGCTCCGTAATTTAAGGAATTTTGTAATTAGCTTTTTGGAAAGCACAAGGACTTGCTAGTGTGTGGTGGCCCGTGCCTTTAATCCTAGACCTTGGGAGGCAGAGGCAGGTGGATCTATGAGTTCCAGGTCAGCCTGGTCTATAGCTCAAGATTTAGGTTATCCAGGGCTACACAGAGAAACCCTGTCTGGTAAAACAAACCAACAATCAAAAGAAAAGACAAGGACTTCAAATTGTCATTTTATTCTTTGAGTTATTATTTATTGTTCTCTGAGGCAGGCCCTCCTGTATCAATATTGTACTTGAAAAGACCATGTTACTGAGGATGACCTTGAACTTTGAACCTTCTTGCCTCTAAGTTCTAAGAGCAGGTTTCCTTTTTGGGGTCTCTCTTTTTGTTTGTTTGAGGGGAGTACTGTGGTTTTGCTGTTTTATTTGGGGCGGGTGGAGGGGTGATGCCAAGTGTTATTGTATAGCCTCGGTAAGCCTCCAGCTTAGAGCACTGCTCCTGCCTCAGCCTCTGAACAGGGTTGAGATTGCAAGAGTGTGTCACCATGCCTGGAACAGCTCACTCTGTGACATGTTTTTGTTGTTATTTTTGAAATGGGGCCAGTCTCTTTTGTGCCTGGCCAGTGCCCTGATTATGTTATCCTTGAAACCAGAGTATGGGGCACTGGAGTTCAGTCCTTTGGCCTCCCATATGGTAGGCAAGCACTGTAACCAGTGAGTTACATTTCAGCCCTTGTTTTCTTGATACAGGGTTGCCATGAACCCAGGTTGATCTTGAACATGGCATCTCCTGCTTCAGCTTCCTGGGTGTTGAGAGTGTGCCACTGGCTGTTTCTGTTCTTCTGTGTTTTTATCACAAGGTTTCCCCAAGGATGTTTATGCAAAGAACTTTAAAGAAATTTTATTTTAACAGTGCTCTGGGATTAATCCAGGGTGTTCCCTCAGATGCCACTGAGCCCTTCATGTTTGGTTCTTAAAATACTGAGTACACGGTAAGTATCTGAAGGTGTAGAAAGTGTTTGTGAAGCAAGAGCAGTTTGGAGAGCTCTTTTGAAGAAAGGTCTGTGAAGTTAGGTTGTATCATTGCTTCTCTCTCAGTCTGTTAGCTTTAGGACTGAAGCACTTCGAAGGCACTGAGTTTCCTAAACCTCTAATCAGCAAGTACCTTGTAACTTGTAAGACCGCTCACCAGCTGACGGTGAGAATCAAGAACCTCAACCAGAACAGAGCTCCTAACAACGTGATTAAAGTGAGTGTTTGCGTTTGCTCAAGCTCCCCTGTGCCTCCTGCAGAGGAGCACCTAGCCCTTTCTCCTCCTCCTCTCAGCTGTCAGTGAAGGCAGGGAAGTCCCTCCAAAAGAAGGCTGGTTTAAAGGATAATTCCTCCCACTGTGTTAGATTAGTCTGCCCTTTCCTTTGTAAGGCAGTGATCCGTTAATTTGCTCTGGAGTACCTTCACCTAGCCTCTCTCATGAAATAACTCATGTCAAAGGATTCCACAAGTCCTCCATGCTTCTCCCAGTACTGCATTGTAAACTGTCTCCAGTGTGTTGCTTTCTTCTTTGGTTTTTAAAGATTTGTTTTGCTTTTTAATTAAGCATGTGTCGTGTGTGGGTTTGTGCAAATGTGTGCAGTGGCCCAGATCCCCTAAACCTGCAGTCATGTGTAGTTAGGTGTTAGGCACTTGACATGGGTGCATGTGTGCTTCCAACTGAACCGGGGTCCTCTATAAGAGCAGGCCCTGGCCTTAACCAGTGAGCCACCTCTCCAGCTTCTAGTGCTGCTTTTCATTTAGACATTTACGTCAGCGTCATGCAGATTATACTTCAGGAGTGAGGTAAGCTAGGTGTGCTGTTGTAGCACTGGCCACTGCACCCAGGGGACAGAGACTCTAGAATTGCTGTGAGTTTGGGAATATCCAGAGCTCCATAACCATATCCTAGTTAAAAAGTGAGAGAGAAAAAGAGGTTAAGTAGTTGAAAGAGTGACATTTTTATGATGGTTTTCTTATGAAAGTGTTTCATCCTTTTTCCTTGTAATGTATTTTTTTGGGAGGTGGTGTGCTTGTCACCTCTTGAAATAGGAGGTTTACAAATGACTTCTTGGGGCTTTGCCTTTAGATCTGATTTGTTACCCTCAGTCATGAATCCCTCCCTCCCTCCCTCCCTTCCTCTCTTCCTCCCTTACTTTCCCTACTTCTCTGTCCCCCTCCTTCCTTCCCGTCTTCTCTTCCTTCCTCCTTGAGTGCTAAAGGTCGAGGAATGACTAAAGCACATCCTCAGCTCACCTTACCCACACATTGACTTCAATTTTCTTTTGTTTGTCTGTGTTTTGAAGATGTCATTTCATATGTGTATTTGTGTGTGCCTGATCATATGTGCACCATATGTTGTTTGGTGCACATATGCTCCAAACATTCACCAGTTGTTTTTTTGAGATGGGATCGCTCTGGGTAGCCGGTTCGCTCGGTGTAACTCTGGCTGTCTTTGAGCTTGGTGGGTAGAGCAGACTGTCCTTGAACTCACTGAGATTCCTCTGCCTCTGCCTCCCAAGTGCAGGGATTAAATGTGTGTTCCACCACCTCTAGCCCATTTACTTTGGAAATGGAAGCTGTTTCTTTCACTCCTCCTTCTCCTCCTCCTTCTCCTCCTTCTCCTCCTCCTCCTCCTCCTCAGCCCATTTACTTTGGAAATGAAGCTGTTTCTTTCCCTCCTCCTACTCCTCCTCCTCTTCCTCCTCCTCCTCCTCCTCCTCCTCCTCCTCCTCCTCCTCCTGCTCCTTCTTCTCCTCCTTCTTCTTCTTCTTCCTCTGCCTCTCCCCCTGGGATTACAGCTCCTCATCATAGTGTTCAGTTACAGTATCTTTTCCACTTAACCCTGTTACTTGCTTACAAGTAGCCTCTGTGTGTGAGATGAGGGTGAAGCTCTGTGTCTGAGAAGAGGGTGAGGCCATTTGTGACAGGAGAGTTGAGCTCTTTGTGCAGAATGAATGGTTTACTAAGATCACTTCCTTCCTTTCTTTCTGATCTAAGCTTCCAAGTTTCCCTCCAAAGGAACATTGGGGTAGATAGTTTTGAGTCTATTTGTTTGTTTATTTTTGTTTATCCAGATAGAGTCTTTTTTTTGTGTGTAACAGTTTTAGCTGTCTGGCAACTTACTTTGTATACTAGGATGGCCTGGAACTCACAGAGATCTACCTGCCTCTGCCTCCCAAGTACTGGGAGTTTTTAGAGACTTAGTGGTAATCAGAATGGATATTTGCATTTATATAATGAATATTTGTGAAATTTTCATTAATTACATATACTTTGTTTAAATGCAGAAATATTCAGCATTCACATTTGTGTGTATGTGTGAAACCATACTTTCTGGTGCCCTCTTCAGACCTTTGTAGGCATGTAGTACACAAATCTACCTACAGACAAAACACTTATGATATAATGTAATGAGCAAAAAAATATTAGATCATTTCTGTTCTGCCTTTAATCCCAGCACTTGGGAGGCAGAAATAGGTGGATATCTTCGAATTTCAGGCCAGTCTGATCTACAGAGCCATTTCTAGGACGTTCAGTGCTACACAAAGAAACCCCATCTCACAAAAGAAAATAAAATTTAAAATACCCTTAATAATAGAGTAATAGGCGTGTAATTTTGCAAGGCCTTGTTTCAATCCCCAATCCAGTAGTAAAGACGCAACTAACTGTGATACCACCCCGCTCCCCCACCTCCCAAAAAATATTAAGAAGAAAGAGAACAAGTTTAAAAAGTTCCTGCCTGTGTGTCATGGCAGAGGAAAGCCGTCTTCAGGAAGTGGGGCAGCCTTCCATAGGCATGTCTGCCCGGGCCTGTCCTCAGTACCCTCAGGCTTCACCAATTCAGAGTGGTGGCCCTGCTTCACCTTAGATCCTCCTGACATTGCTCCTGTACTTGGGCCTTCTGTGAGCTGCTAGGAGCCCTTAGAAACATTCTTTGGGGTGCTTTTAGGAAACAATGGAGAAACTGACTTGGCTGGCATCTGAAAGGAGCATGAGTCAGGAGGGTGAGTCTGAGGAAGAGAACTCCCAGGAGGAGAACTCTGAGCCAGAAGAAGAAGAGGAAGAGGAGGCAGAAGGGATGGAAGCCTTGCAGAAAGAGGGTGACGTGAATGATGAAGCAGTTGGAGATGCTGCTGAGAAGCAGCCTTCTACCTTGGCCTCACCCAAGACTGCTCCACAAGTGGAGACCAGCGTAACCCCAGCAGGTGAGTGTAGCTGACCCCTCGGAGGACAGGTTCCCCTTAGCTGCATTCTCCAGAGGACTGAGTGCACAGTGTGCAGCTCACAGAGTAGCCCGAACCTCCAGGGAGGAGTCTTTCTTTCTCCTGCAGCAGCTTTCTTGCCCCAAACAGACTAGGGCAGTGCCTTTGAAAAACAAAAGACACAAGTCAGAGTCTCATCAACAGTTCATTTACAGGAAGTTCCTGTGTTTTATTTGTGGTTCTTGCCTCTTGTGTGCTTGAGGCTATGAGCTGTTGGGCGATCATGTTTACTACTTCAACTTGTCTTTTTTTTTTTTTTTTTTGGTTTTGGAGACAGGGTTTCTCTGTGTAACTTTGGAGCATATCCTGGCACTCGCTCTGGAGACCAAGCTGGCCTCGAACTCACAGAGATCCGCCCACCTCTGCCTCCCGAGTGCTGGGATTAAAGGCGTGTGCCACCAAGGCCCGACTAGCTTGTCTGTCTTTTGATCAGGGTCTTACTGTTTAGCTCAGGCAATGTTCTTTTCCTGTGCTAATGTAAGTGTGGACACTCAAAGTTAGCACTGGCCTTTTTTTTCAAGCTGCAGGTGTTCAGTGTCTTCTTGTCTCCCAGTGGCTTGAATTTCTTGCTGCCCAGTGGGTATGCATATGCAGTGGAGGCTGCATTGTTTTGTCTACCACTTTCCTAGCTACTGCTTTCCCTAGGTGTTCTGAGATATTAACTGGATTGGATGTGTGCTACTTGTGGTGGACTGTATAGTTACAAACGTTGAGAAAGAATCTTTTTCATGTGTACTCCCAGGAGAAACCATCAAAGCTGCTGGCAGAGGCCGAAGCAATCATCGAGCTCGAAACAAACGAGGAAGTCGGGCTCGGGCCAGCAAGGACACCTCCAAGTTGTTGTTGCTCTATGATGAGGACATTCTGGATCGGGACCCACTTAGGGAACAGAAGGACCTGGCATTTGCACAGGCTTACCTCACCAGGGTAGGCAACACAGCTTCTATTACTGCCTGTCTATGTGTATGTCACTTCTGCTGCTCTGGAGGAATGTGTTTTAATATGGAAATGTCTGACTAAGGAGATAGCTCAGCAGTAAAGTGCTTGTCTAGCATGGACGAGGCTGACCCAGCTATGTACTCCATAGCTGGGTCTGCCTTATTTCCTGGTAATTGCCACAGAATTCTCTGAGAGACTAACAAGTAGACCCAGAGTTCAGTCATATTTGGGATGGCTGTCTGTGCCCCCATGTTCATCCTGTCTCTCATTCATCCAGGGATCAGGAGAACGGTGTTACTGCTATCCCCAGTGCCAAGTTGTGACATTATAGATTGGGCTGATAACAGGACCTTTTATGAGCCTTTAGTGAAAAGGATGGCAGTTGTATTCAGCCTAGAGAACTGGCCTCAGGGGAATGTACTTTGGTCTCTTGGTACCCTGTGTAGCTTCCTTCTCAGTTAATAACCCAGTAAAGTGAGGTACTTGGAGTGATTGGCCTGCTACTACTACTGTTATCTGCTACTGCATTATTAACATTCTAAATTGAGGTATTGTGTACCTTGGTATGACAATAATTAGAATCCATATACAAAACTCTTCTTATCTGGTTAAGTTTGGGGCTCAAGTCTGGAATGCAAGCTTAGTAATCCCTAGTATTGTGGCTCCAGGCTCAAAACAATAAAAGTTGTCAGATTGCCCCTCAGAGAAAAGGGAGTCTGCTTTGCTGCTTGTTCTGTTCTGTGTCCTTTGTTAACCCCAGGTCAGGTGAGGGCCTCTGAAGGATAATCTTAGCACTGTGAACATGACTCCTTCTTCTGGAACCTTGCTTGTTTTAGAGGCCCAAAGAAAATGAATATTGACTATTGGAAGTCTTGTATGTAGGTACGAGAAGCTCTCCAACATGTCCCTGGCAAGTATGAAGATTTTCTTCAGGTCATCTATGAATTTGAGTCAAGTACCCAGAGGCATACTGCTGTTGATCTCTACAAAAGCTTGCAAACCCTACTCCAAGACTGGCCTCAGCTCCTGAAGGACTTTGCTGCCTTCCTGCTCCCTGAGCAGGCCTTGTCCTGTGGACTAGTAAGTAGACAGACCAAGAAGGCTCAGCAGACTCTGGGGCAGAGGCAGATGGGACTTGAATATAGTCAAGCAAGACTGTCTTAGTCTTTTGATGTTTTTTCAGGTCGCCCTCACTCCATTTCAGTTAGGCCTTTCTCTTCTCAGTTTTATCTCCCATTTGTTTACAAGGTTTTTTCAGTAGTACCAGTAGAAACCTCTGGAAGTCACATTCTACCCTCCCTTTTTACTGGTGAAAAGTACCGTTTTAATTTTTTTTTCCCTCTGTTTTTGAGTCAGTGTCTTTCTGTGCAGCCTTAGCTGACCTGGAACTCAGTATGTAGACCAGGCTGGCCTTGAACTCACAGAGATCCATCTGCCTCTGCCTCTCAAGTGCTGGGATTAAAGGTGTGTGTCCCTCTATCCCAGCTCTTTGTTTTACTAAATATTTGTTGAGTGTCAGGAAAAGACAGATTCTCTATGTATGTACTTCACAGAACACTAGAGTAAAAAGACAGCACTCAGGAAGCTGAGGCAGAAGGATTGCTGGTGGTTCATGGCCAGCCTAGAATTCATACTTTTTCAAAATCCTGGGGTACATAATGAATCCCCGAGTGACAATAATAAAAATAGAAAGTTGAAGTAAAATAAAAACTAAGATTTCAAATGGGAGGAATGGCAAGTTGGGCAAGGTAACTCCTACTTTCTCTCCTGGGAAAGCAGAGGCAAGAAGAGACAGGGAGTTCAAGCGGGAGAGAGAGTTGGGGGAAGGAGGGAGGGAGAGAAGGAGGAAGAGAGAGAGAACGGAAGCAGTAGTCTTAGACTTCTTGTTCCAATTGGTAGAACTAGGACTTACGGGAATAATCACAGTATTCTGATGGATTAGTCTTCATTGGCTGGTGGGTTGATTGTGAGTAAAATGTCCGTCCACCTTCTGACATTATTGTGAGGATGAAATGAATGTGTATGCAAAAATAATGTGTAACTGTGAAGTTCCACTTGAGTTTGAGTATCTGATTGCATAATCCATAAAATAAAACAAGAAACAACGTGGTATGTAGCTATCTCTTTTATCTGTTTGCTTGAGACAATACTCCTTGCATACCTCAGGCTGAACTTCAACTTGGAATGTCATGTCTCAGTCTCCTGCTAGTATGACAGAGATACATATCTACTGTGTCACTCATTCACATCTTCATTTGGAGATTCCCAGGGTCCTACAATGGGGTGCTGGAGTTTAAATAGAATCCTGTCTTAACAAGCACCTCTGGTCCATTGTTGTTCTTCTCAGAGATTTGTGGTTCTGATCCATCTGTGAACTGACTCCTTTCGCATCTTCCTTCTCTTCTGGTAGTTTGAGGAACAGCAGGCTTTTGAGAAGAGTCGCAAATTCCTTCGGCAGCTGGAGATATGCTTTGCAGAGAACCCCACACACCACCAGAAGATTATCAAGGTGCTACAAGGCTGTGCGGACTGCCTTCCTCAGGACATCTCAGAGGTACTCTGTCCTGTTTCCTATTTATTTGTTTTTTTCCCCTTAGGTTTATCTATGTGTGTGAGTGTTTTATGTGTATGTATGCATGTGTACCAGATGCAGGCCTGGTGCCTGCCGAAGTTAGAAGAGGATATTGGATTCCTTGGAAGTTGAATTACAGGAAGTTGAATTACAGACGGTTGTGAACTACCATGTGGTGCTGGGAACCTAATAGCAGCAGGTGCTATTATCTGCTGAGCTATCCACACCCCCCCCCATCCTGCTTCCTTCAGATTTATTTAATGTATGCATTGGGGTTTTGCCTGTATGTATGTTCATCTGTATGATGGTGTTAGATCCCCTAGAACTGGAGTTACAGACATTTGTGAACTGCTATGTGTGTGCTGGGAATTGATCCCAGGTTCTTTGGAAGAGCAGCCAGTGCTCTTAACCACTGAGCCATCTCTCCAGTACCGATGATTCCTTTTTATTGTCATTTTTCTTTCTTCCTAATGTTTTCCAGAGGTTCTGAGTTCAATTCCCAGCAACCACATAGTGGCTTACAACCATCTGAAATGAGATCTGGTGCCTTCCTCTGGCCTGCAGGGATACATGTAGGCGGAACACTGTATACATAATAAATAAATAAGATCTTTAAAAAAAAAAATCTTGGGAGTCAGATATCAGAATAAGAACCTGAATGACTAGACCAGTGGCAGAGATGTGTCCAGTGACCTATTTCTCTCTTTCCTCCATCCAAAAAGGCTGAGACCTTCTCTAAGCCCTGACCTGCTACTTCCTGTCTATCTGTCCTCAGTCCTCCAAAACCTCTGTGGTTAATTTTGGTCAGCTAGTAGCTGTGATTCAAAAACAACTTTATTGTCAGTCTTGGAGCCTCAGAATGCAATCAAAATATCACACAACACCTGGGGACCTAAATTCAATCCCTGGGACTAAAATGATAATTGACTCTAACTTTCATAGGCCTGTGTGCACTTACTGCCAAGCCTTAAGACCTGAGTTTGATCCCTGGATCCACATGGTAAAAGGAAAGAACTGATTCCTAGAACTTATCCTTTGACACCCACAGGTGTGCTGTGGCATGTACACATCCACAGACAGGCACAGACAGACACACGTACACATGCAAACACACCAAATAAACAAACAAAAAAAAAACCCATGTAATCTTAAAACAAGGTACATTTAAAAAAAAAAAAAAAAAAGCCAGGCTCCATGTAGAAGGCAGACTGTGGGCTACATATGGGACTGGTTTGAGTGTGGTCTAGAAAGATACTCCAGATGTCTTCTTAGTCTTCACAATTCTCCTCAGCTCAAGACACAGATGTGGCAGCTCCTCAAAGGCCACGACCACCTACAGGATGAGTTCTCCATCTTTTTTGATCATCTGCGCCCAGCAGCTAGCCGGCTGGGTGACTTTGAAGAGATCAATTGGACTGAAGAGAAAGAGTATGAGGTACAGGCCCTGAGGTTGCCAAGGGGAAGGCTGCCTGCGGGAAGGGTAGGCCCAGGCTGCTTAGTGCCACCAATTCCTTTTAGTTTGACGGCTTTGAAGAAGTGATCCTCCCTGATGTGGAAGAGGAAGAGGAGCCTGCCAAGGTGTCCACAGCCTCAAAGAGCAAGAGGAGAAAAGAGATTGGGGTCCAGAATCACGATAAGGTATACGTGCTTTTGGAAAATCATGCCTTGGATTAAACTTTGCATATATTTATGGTATATATAGGATAGCTCATAGGGTTTTTAGGATTGGAGAGGCCCATGGGAGCAAATTGAGGTGAGGCTGCTGTGGAGAACCCCAGAGACTTCATTAGAAGGAATCATAGCCAGGCACGTTGCCACTTAACTTACAATTCCAACACTTAGAGGCTGAGGCAGGGACATTACTGCAAGGGCAAAGCTGGTCTATGCTACATGGTGAAAACCTGTCTCAAGAAAGGGAACAGAACAAAAGAAAACAGTAATTTATCCTTTTCTCCCTAGCTCAGAGCTGCCCTTTTTCTTACCTTTGGATTTTAATGTTTCAATTTTGCCCATGGAAGGAGTGCTGGGAATAAAGTGTTTGGCTTTATTGAGTGAAGTCATTATACAAAGCCATTTAGAGAGCACACAGGGAGACAGAAAGTCAGTTAACTGGATCTCACTTTGGAGCTCTCCATACATTTCCTCAAAAATCTGTTTGACTTAAGTGTGTCCCAGGCCTGTGGGCTGCTGGGATGCTGCTTTCTTTGGATCATTGTGGAGTCTTTCAGGATTCATTACCAGCTGAGGTCAAGATTGGGTCAATGACCCCCCCCCAGGGTGATGAGATGGGAGGGGCATCTTTATAACTCAGGCCTCTCAACTCAGCTCTGTGTCTTGGTTCTAAAAACACTTGGCAGCTAATGAAGCTGGGGTGTCTTGTAGGAGACGGAATGGCCTGAAGTGGCCAAAGACTGCTCCTGTTCGTGCCACGACGGAGGTCCCGATTCTAAGCTGAAGAAAAGCAAGAGGAGAAATTGTCACTGCAGCAGCAAGGTGAGGAAGGGGCCTGGTTTGCTGGGATTGCCTAGGCCATTCTGTGCAGATGCTGGTCAGGTGTGTTGTTATTTGTGTGGGATTTTGTTTGTTTGTTTTGTTGTTGTTTTTGAGATTGGATCTCTCTACATAGCCTGGGCTGTCTTGAAACTCACTATGTAGAAGAGGCTGGCCTCAAACTCAAGGAAATCTTCCCTCTGCCTCTAAAGGTGTGTGCCAGCATGCCTGGCTAAATGCTGTTTTGCTACTACAGATTTATGCACTTTTGAACTTAGAAAGTGATCACTTGGCCTGGCGTTGGTGGCGCACGCCTTTCATCACAGCACTCGGGAGGCAGAGGCAGAGGCAGGCGGATCTCTGTGAGTTCGAGGCCAGCCTGGTCTTCAGAGCGAGTGCCAGGACAGGTTCCAAAACTACACAGAGAAACCTTGTCTCGAAAAACCAAACCAACCAAACAAACAAACAAAAAACTTGTTCTTCAGAGTGAGTTGGTTGGCAACACAAATGCTGCCCTTGTTAGAAATGGGGGGAGGGGGTCCTAGGTGCCTTGAAGTCCTTGTTAGAAATGGAGGGGTCGTAGGTGCCTGGAAGCATGTTGGCTGTGTTGCTGAGTAGCAGCACAGGTCTTACCTTTGAGGGTCTGAGACATGGTAAGGTCAGGACATTTTTAACCTAGAGAGCCACCTGTTGTGCCCGAGTCACAAGGACCCCCAAAGAGACCAGGGAGACAGACCACCGATGCAAATGCACGAGGTTTATTAAATTGTCTATATTACCTTGGGAGGGACCCCATCTAGCAAACTGACACAGCAGCCTCCAGAAGGGGTGAAGTTCCCTGTCTACTGCTAGGTTTTAAAGACAAAAGTTACAGGATTGCATCCGTAGGTACTGGTTGGTTTCTGATTAGTTGACATTTTGGAACTATCAGGAAAATTTTTCAAAGTCCTATTTTGGCATGAAATACCTGTGTACCAGGTATTCTCATTAGTCAGTGCTGAGAGGGAACATTCTGTGGTTTCTATGGCTTTGTCTTGTTACTTGCAGATGGCCTGTTGTACATAGATAGCAATAGTTTTTAGAACTGTATCCTGGAGACTATAGGGGAGGTTTTGGTCTCCCCTGGAGTTTCTTTTGTGGCCAAACAGTTCCCAGGAACCAAGTACCTAGGAGGCTGGGAGCTGGGGAGTCTGGAGTTCAGTTTTGGCCCTAGGCCCTGGGATGCCAGGGATTGGGAGTTTCCTTGTGTTACAGGCCTACGTGTCTTTTCTGTAGCTTGTCATGGCTGCTAAAGCAGGGGCTGAGTGAGGGTCTGGTTCCTTTGTTTCTAAATTATTAGAAGTGAAGCCTTTGAGTTTAGTTTTCCACTTTCAACCCTTGCAGGTCTGTGACAGCAAATCTTACAAGAGCAAGGAGTCCCTTGAGTTGGTGGGCAATAGCCCCCTCCAAGAGGCTAGTTCGATGACTGGAAATAAGGAAGTGGGACAAGACAAGGACGTATTGGAAGAGGAGCCCCTGGAGGAGCAGGAGAACATTGCGGCCACCCAGAGTAGAAGCGGCAGGACCACCAGAAAGGGAGAGATACCCATTCCAGGTGAGTAACCTGACTACCAAGCTTCCCCTGTTTCTTTCTGAACCGCATTTTCTTACACTGCATGAGCATGGCTAAAAAACTTTTCCAGGGATGGGCATGACAGACCTTTTCCCATTCACTTCTCTCACAAAGTTAAAACACTGGTACAGAGCCAGGCAGTGGTGGCACACACCTTTAATCTCAGCACTCAGGAGGCAGGGGCAGGTATATCTTTTGAGTTTCAGGTCAGCTTGTTCTGCAGAGTGAGATCCAGGCCAGCCAGGGCTAGACTGTAACTCAAAAATAACAATAAAACAGAGGCTGGGGAGGTGGCCTCCTCTAGAGGTTCTGTGTTCAATTCTTAGCAACCATATGGTGGGATCTACTACCCTCTTCTGGCATAAAGGTGTACATGCAGATTGAGCATTCATTCATTCATACATACATACATACATACATACAGATTCCTGAAATCCTCTCCTAGGTGTGAACCCTCTCTACTAACATTCTAGCATATCAACCATGCCCTTCTTTGCTGAGTGGCTCCCCCAGTCTTTCCACCAGCTCACCAGTGACTTATGGTTGTCTGTGTATACCCTGATCCCCATATTCCTCCTAACCAGGGTCAACAGTAGGGAGTGCTTTGCCGTGCTCTGCAGAAGTGACTGTCGTGGAACAGCCCTTGGAGGGCCCGACACTCTGCTCACCAGAGACCCCTCGACTTCCTCCTCAGACTGGAGTTGTATTCTCCTCTGTCAGGAGAAACCAGGTTGGACCTGAAATTGTCTCCTGCCTTGGTACATCCACCATACTTCCTGAAAAGGGGGAGGACCTAAAGGCTGCTGCTAATTCAGAGACTACTGTGCCACTCCCAGATGTGTCAGAAACTGAGAAACTTCCAGGCTTTGTGGAGATCCCTGCTTCTCTCCCGAGTCCTGTTTCCTCAAGGACCAGCGACACAGGAAAAAGACACATATGTGGGAAAGCAGGTACTCAGAGCTGGCTACTTGAGAGCAGAGTGGAGGAGGCAAAGACAATCCATATGATGACCCCTATCTGTGGATCTTCATCAGGAGTTGATTCCTCAGAGATTACTCCCCAAGCTGTCAGGGGGGTCGTGCCTGAAGATAGAGGAACACAAGGCAAGGGGCCAGAGGGGGCTCTGCCAAAGGTCTCAGAAGCTACAGTCTGTGCTAACAATAGCAAGGTCAGCTCCACTGGGGAGAAGGTGGTACTATGGACAAGGTAGGTAAAGATGAACTGTGTTTGCAGAGTGTAACACAGATCCAAACATGTCCTCGGGGCTAACCATGCTGCCTGGATTACAGGGAAGCGGACCGAGTGATTCTCACCATGTGCCAGGAGCAGGGGGCACAGCCTCACACCTTCAGCATTATCTCTCAGCAGCTGGGAAATAAGACCCCTCTTGAGGTAAGGTGGGAAGGGAAATATGATGATGGAGAACTAAGGCAAGAGGATGGGACCATTGGCATTTACAGTCATAAAAACTAACTTTTCTTTCTTTTTTGAGACAAGGCTTCTCTGTGTAACAACAGCTCTAGCTGTCCTGGAACTCACTCTGTAGACAAGGCTGGCTTTGAACTAGAGGCCCACCTGTCCCTGCTCCCAAATGTTGGGATTAAAAGGCGTGTACTACCACCTCCTGGCTCATAAGAACTTTCATGGCAGTAGATGGTTATTATAGAGGTTGGCCCGAAAAAAGGCTTGACCTGTCAGGGTGGTAGTTCTTTTCTTTTTACTCTTTCTTTTGTGGGGAGGTCAGGATTTGCACTGTGTCCCTAGCTGTCCTTGAACTCAGGGATCCATCTTGTCTCTGCCTCCAAATTTCTAGAATTAAAGGTATGCATCACCAAGTATGGCAAAAGAAAAAAAAAAAAAGGTTCTAGTTTTGTTACTCAGAACACTGGTCTTTCTGTGGCATTTTCCTGTCTATACAGAAGACGCCACCTTTGGTGTCACTGTGTGCAGTGAGTGGGAACTCAGTGCATCCTAGGTAGACTAGAACTATGAGCACAACCCTTTTCCTTCACTAGGTTTCCCACCGTTTCCGAGAGCTCATGCAACTCTTCCACACAGCCTGTGAGGCCAGCTCTGAGGATGAGGATGATGCCACCAGCACCAGTAATACAGACCAGCTCTCTGACCATGGGGACTTGCTGTCTGAAGAAGAGCTGGATGAGTGAGACCCTGGGAAGGAGCGGTTTAATCTGCCAGGGCCAGCCCAACAGCCATCTGTACGAGGGTGGTTGAACTTCACTTATGGAGACCTTGAGTTCCTTCTGTAGAGCTAAGGACAGGGTCAGTCTGGAGATGGCTGTGCAGCCTGTATCTTTCTCAGGGACCTCAGTGAAGACCTTACAAACCCAATCTGTAAATAGCATTGAAGGAGAATGGGATTTGGCTCTTTGGTGATCTCAGTGTTTTTAAATGTCCAAATGCCTATGTCAAGTAGCAGGTCCAAACACACTGGGCTCCTGTACACGGCAGCTTTTTATTATAAATTATCTCCCCAATACCCTTCCCTGGAACATCAGTTTGAAAGGCTGACACCCTCCTGGTAACACTGGGCCAGGTTGTATAAGTCCTGCAGCAGCTCCTCCATGTCATCCTGCTCCACTCCAGCATCCATGAAGCTAGCCCAGCGCCGCAGGTCAAGTCTGTTGAGCTCTTCAGCCAAGTCTCCCAGGGTCTGGTGCAAGGATGAAGATGAACGCAAGGCCCCAAACACGGGGATGCTTTGCACTGCTGCAGAGGGACAGAAAAGGGAGTGGACTGGAGTCTGCTCCGGGACTCTTGTACTGATAAGCACATCTGGGACTTGGTAGAATGACTGTAAAGTACAGCAGTAAAGTGTTTGTGTCCCTGGTGTGTCAGTACCCCAGGAGCTTATAGTCGAGTAGAGGAATGCTCAACTGTGAACATTTTTTCTTTAGCACTTTTAATTCAAGAAGAGAAAGAGTAAAACTGCTCCTATGTAGTTGACGTGTTAGTTTTCTTCATGTCCTACCTGCACACTTTGGGGGACAGTCCAGGGCCATTCCCTTGTAACTGCAGCTTGAGAAGAGGTGTGGGTAAGGAGGAGCCACTCTGCAGGGCGTCCGCAACAGATGTGAAGAACTGCAGGCAGAGAGAGGATGGTGACTCAGAGCAGGGAGGCAAAGGCTGCTGGCAGGCAGCCCGAGGAAAAGGCAAGTGCTATACTGACCTTAAGACTCTAGGATGCTGATGTTGTAAGTACTGGGCCAAGACTTCTTCTCCAGAGGCGCATGTATGGAGACCAGAAGGCAAGGGTGTCCCTGGGTTGAGGTTACTGACAGAACACAGCCAAACCCACATTTACTCTTTGGCTGCATGAATGGTAGCTAAGAATTCTTACAATCTTGAACCATCAACTGAGTCAGTCCAGAGCTTTAATTTTAGGTAGTGAAGGTAGGAAGAAAGCATACCACTAGAACACCTAGGCATTAGGGAGACAAAGTTATGAGAAAGTCCTACAAGGGCCTCTAAAGAACCCAGGCTTTACCTGGTATGGCTTGCTCTGTCTATACCCCTCAGCACCACTGACTGGGCAAAGCATTGACTTCCAGCAGAATCCCCACAAGCAGACAGTGGGGTCCATGGAGTGTCTCCTTCAAGCTGCACCAGGGTATCAGGAAGGGACTGGCCTGGAACCAGTGGGAAGGGGATGATTGCTTCTGCTGTCACCACCTAGAGACCAGGAGGTACGAGGTGTTACAGAGCCTTTCCTCAAGTCTGGCCCTCTAAAGCTTCCTGTTTTTGTTTGTTTTTCAAGAAAGGTTTTCTCTGTATAGTCCTGGTTGTCCTGGAACTAGCTCTGTGGACCAGGCTGGCTTCAAACTCAGTCACCCGCCTGCCTCTGCCTCCCGAGTGCTGGAGCTACCACCACTGCCTGGTCCTCTAAAGCTTCTTACCTTTTTCCCAGAGAAACTTAGCAGATCAGCCAAATGAGCCATGGGAACCATGGAGGAACACAGGCGATAGGGAGCAGTTACCGTGTCCAGGGCTGTAGCCAGGATGGCGCTACAGTGGAATGGCAGAGTGGCCTGTCAAGTGGGACAGGGGGGGGAGGGGAATGCTGGGTCTTTCGGGTGAGGAAAAAACGTGTGAGGCACAACATTAAGGGCAGAGGTTCAGGGAATGAAGTAAGGGTCTTTGTCCTGAGGATGGACAAATAGGAAGTGCTAAGAGGTCAAGTTCAAGCTGGGGACCCAATTTGGTGTTAAAAGTGCTTCCCAAGTATGTGCTGTGTCCTAGGTTCAATCCCTAGCCACACATATACACATGACAAAGGGTGGGGGGGGGACAAACAGAGTGACCCACAGTAAATAGAGGCTGATATAGAGTGAGCTTTAAGCCTTACATCATAATGTAGGTTAGGGAAGTTGACAGGTGGCTTGGGTCGAAGGCCCAGGTTGCCTCCCAGAGATAAGGGACAGACCAAAGAGCTGTACCCAGTCAGGTGCACCAGACCAAATGCTGTGTTTAGGAGACGATAGATATTTTTCTGGGGCTCCTGGTAAAAGAAATGAGAAAGGCTTACTCTACACAGCTTCCTCAGTGGGATCCTTTCCTTCCCACCAACTCTGCTGCTTTTCTTATTTTCTACTCACCCCAAGATTGCAGGGACCAGGGAGCAAACCCCATGTTATTACTCCCCGGCCTGAATACTCATCTTGTAGTAATTCTGCAGTTTTAGCACCTACACCAGAGAAGCCATCATGTAGGTCACACAGGATCTGGAAGCCCTGGAGAGATGAAAGCCAACAGACGACTATAGGATGAGGAGAGCTGCTACCCCAGCATCCACCTTGTCACACAGCTACCTGCAAATAGTCACACTCTTCCACATAGAAATGCAGTCTGTCCTCCAGCTCCTCCAGGTACCTGGGCTCCTTAAGGACACTCTCCCCTTGGCCAAAAGCTTCGAGCCGACCCGTTTCACTATCAAAAAGCACCATGATAAGACTCAACCCTGTCTTCAACTTCCCAGTCTGCTGTTTTGGAGGAGGGCAGGTGAGATGCAGTTCAGCCTTATCCAGTGTGTTGGGGGGAACCTAAGCTTTATCTCACAGCCTCTGGAGTCCCCATACCCATCATGGTTGTACTTCTGAATCACACAGATGCTCCGAGGGTGGAGGTGCACTCTGAGGAAGTCTGACCAGACTCTGATGATGTTCTCTGTGGGGATAAATGGTTTTGGATTTGTACTGGAGATGATTGGTGGGCACCTGAAAAAAGAACAGATGAGTTGTACCATCCCCCAAATCCCTGCTCTGTTCAGTCTCCAGTATCAAGGGCTACCTCACCTTTGCCATTTTCGATAGGTTTGGCCCTCCAGACACCATCAGTACTCAGCACTCCCTGGGAGGGGTGAGAAAACTGACATTTAGTTCTAGTTAGTTCTCTGCCATGGGTTCATCTCTACATGTGTATATGTATGTGCATGCCCATGTGAGTTTATGTGAACCACATTCATGAGTTGCCCAAAGCTAGAAAAGGGCATTATATACCCAGGAACTGGTTACCGGCTGTTGTGAGCTGCCAAATGGGGGCATTAGGAACTCTGGAAAGGTTCCTTCCTGCCAGTTTAGAGCCAATGGTGCTTTTTTTTTTTTTTTTGAAAAAAGGCCTATTTCTAAGGCATTTACAGGGACTACCACCCCAATTTTTTGCTCCACGAAGCTACTTTGCTTGTTTGAAGGTTTGGGGCAGAGCCCATCACCTCTGCACTCAGAAGGTCCTGGAGGTTAGGGTTCTTTGGGTAAGCTTCTTCTCTGTGTGTGGTGAGCTTCCCTTGCCTGAAAAAGAGTAGAGAATAAGCAAAGAGAGTATCCCTCTCATCTCTCCAGCCTTCTGTGCACACACACTGGACCTTCACCCCCTTTCACACATCAGATACACGACCATGCTACTGTAGTGTCTGGATGTCGGTCCTTGTAGAGGCCACCTTCTTCCTTTAGTGAATTCAGACTGCCTGCACAGAAATGAAAGACAAGGTCAAAGCCCTAGAGTATAATCTCCCTCCCTCAGACTAATCTGATCATTGTGTTGTGGCAGTTTCTCTGGCACTGGGCAAAACTTTGTTTTGCTTTTGAGAGGTCTCCTATGTATCCCTCAATGGTTTACAACTGTGTAGACCAGGTTGGTCCTGAATGCAGAGATCTACCTGTCTCTGCTGGGTTTAAAGGCGTGCCAGAGTGCTCTCGGTTTTTAGAAGCATACTTGGTCATACGTTGGATGGGATGGGAAATCTGAACTCTTATCTGTCAACAGCTGTGATTCTGTGTTGAGTGCAGCAGCTTAACAGTATGCTGCCCATTCCACAGCCAGCTCTTGAGTTGACTGAATACCCTGACCTTCCTGCGTCCTCGGGGGTTCGTCTGCAGGGTGGGTCTGAAGTGAACTAATTATCGGGCCTTACACGCAGAAGGGGAAAACTTGGCTGAGCTCCGCCACCACCTCACCTTTCAGATCCATGAGGATGAGTCGCGGCGTATAGGTTTCCTGGCCATGCAGCGTTCGGCCGGTTCTGAACAAGACGTCGGGGCACAGTTCCCCCGGCGACTCTTCGCCCTCGGTCGTCCGTCCCAGCGCAGCATCCTGCAGGGTGCAGAGGACTGAGCGGAGGGGAAAGGCGGGGCAGGGCCACGTACCTTCCCCAGGGAGCGCCGGGCTGCCACTAGGGGCCTGACCTGCTGGTTCCACCAGTGCGCCCCGACGAAACCCGAGAAATGTCCCAACTGCAGCGTGAGCACCTCGCGGGCCCCGCCCGCCATAGCAGCGCCGCTCCTCAGCACTCCACTCAGAGCCTCCGGGGCCCAGGGGGCGGGGCCTGCGCCCATTGGCTCCTGAGCACGTGCTTTCCCGTTGGCTACACTATTCGTTAGTCTCCCGGGCGCTTCTCACGCCCCGCCTCTTCCTCTCCTGGGTTGCCGGAAGCTGCAGCGTCCCCACTGGCGTCGTTCAGTTCCCTCTGCGCTTCCGATGGCGCCTTCTGTGGGCAAGGTCATAGAAGATTCTCTCACCTGTTCCCATCACTCTTTTCGCAGATACCTCTCTCCCCTAGGTAATAATTCACACTAGAAAATAAACCTGACGAGGAACTGGACGGCCCTCTGAATCAGTCCTCCGCATCTGGAAGTTCCCAGCCCGGCTAACCTGATGGCCTGGGCTCTGGGTCATCTGTCAGCTCCTGTTAAGTTATGGGAAAAATTATAGTCCCCTTCTTCTTGTACATGTACCTCATTTGCACTTCTGTGCTGTTTTTTATTTTCTTTTTAATTTGGTTTGCTATTGGGGCTATTTTTTGGGAAAGACTCTCGTATCCCCATTGATGGCCTCAAACTCACATCCTCAGGCCACTGCTTCCTGAATGCTGGAATTAAAGGCATGTGCCACCAGTAAGGCTGGGGACATTCTTTTATGTTTTTATAAGCTTTTTTGGATATCCAGTTTGCAAAGGGTTTCCAAATCCCATGTGTTAGCACAAACCTCTAATCCCTGTTCTTGGAAATGGAGGGAGACCAGTTCAATTCTTAGCTCATCTAGTTGAAGGCCAACTTGGGCTACATGAGACCAAGTCTAACGTACAAAACAAATATATATATTTTGATACAGGGTTTCTTTGTGTAAGATCCCTGACTATCCTGGAACTCACTCTGTAGACCAGACTGACCTCAAACTCACAGAGATCCGCCTGCCTCCCCAGTGCTGGGATTAAAGGCGTGCACCACCGCCGGTTTAAACAAAACAAATTACTATTCCGGAAGTTCTTGTTTATGTTTTTTTTTTTTTTTCCCACCTGGGCTGTCTGGTATTTAAAGCAGTACATTCCTGAACACAAATCCATTGCTAGTAAAATGTATAGAAAATACCTATTAAGGGCTGGAGAGATGGCTCAGCCAGTTAAGAGCACTGTCTGCTCTTCAGAGGACCCAGGGTCATTTCCCAGCAATC